AATCAGAACAAAAGCTGATCTAGCTCCGCATACTTCCAGTCAACACCAGATGTATGGGGAGGGACAGAAGAATCATAGAATCATAGACTCATAGAATGATTTGGGTTGGAAGGGACCCTAAAGATCATCGTTACAACCCCCCTGCCATGTGCAGGGACACCTTCCACCAGCCCAGGTTGCTCAAAGCCCCGTCCAACCTGGCCTTGAACCCTTCCAGGGAGGGGGCAGCCACAGCTTCTACGGGCAACCTGTGCCAGTGCCTCACCACCCTCACAGGGGAGAATTTCTCTGTCATATCAAATCTAAACCTACCTCTTTCAGTTTAAAATATTCCTTATCCTATTCCTACACTCCCTGATAAAAAGTCCCTCCCCACCTTTTCTGTAGCCCCCTTTAAGCACTGTAAGGCCACTAAAAGGTCTCCTCGGAGCCTTCTCTTCTCCAGGCTGAACAACCCCAACTCTCTCAGCCTGTCCTCACAGCGGAGGTGCTTCAGGCCCCTGATCATCTTAGTGGACCACCTCTGAACCTGCTCGAGCAGGTCCTCCAGTCACAGTGTGGTGATGCTTCCCTAAACCCAGCCCTTCTCCCCTTGAACTCACAGAAAATTTTAGTATCTGCAAAATCCAGGGGAATGGAGATTTTCATGTCACCCCTGTATGACATGAGTAGCCAGTGAGTGTTTTTTGTTTGTTTTAAATCTGGCTCCTTGATGCCACCTAGCTCTTTTACTGCATGAGTTACTGAATAATCACAACGTTTCTATACCACTAGGTTTTTTCTAACATATCTTCATTTGATAATCCTTTTTCTAGGCTGAAGAAGCCAATCTACCTGCTGTCACAGGCATGAAAGCCCTTCTCTGCCTTCCACTGTCCTTGTCATCCTTCTCCAAACTTTTCCAGTTCTACCATATCTTCCTCAAGGAGAAGGGAAGAGATGAGACCTACAGATATTATTAATAAAATAGGAGTACCATGGATTTATTCAATCACATAGTTATCTTCTTTTCATCCTCTAAAATTTTATTTTATAATGCTTCTTTCCAAAAATTAAAGCTTATAGTCTTGTAAGCAGCAGACCTGTTTTAATTGGGCAGAGCCTGTGCTTCAGCATAAAGGGATGTATCTTTAAATGACAAAACTATGCCAAAACTAAATGGCAATTAAAATTACATTATGTACATTATAACTATAATGAATTATAATATGCATGTAATTCAAAACGGATTGTTTGATTAGACTGTACAACTTCACAGACAACTACTTCGGGGAAATGAGAGCATACTGCATACCTAAACCACTTAACAATTTCTGTTGTAAGTTCCATTGTTTCCCCTTGTTTTCAAGTCTCTGCTATTTGGGATGGAATCACCCTGAGCCACACACAGACTTTATCTGCTTGAGTTCTAATTAGATATGGCTAAGACAGGAAGATTTTGAATAGTAAGATTTGCCACTTCCCTTTTCAAGTGGTTTCCATGAAAAACTTAATTTCCTCAGAAAATTTCTGGTAGCATGACAAACAAAAAATCCCTGAAATCTGAACCATTGTGTGCTTTGGTGACTGCCTCTCTCTGCCATCCCTGAGAAGAAATGGTTACCATCACTACGCAAACACTAAAATACCGAGGGGAAAACAAACAAAACATGCTTTGCCTACCCACTGAAGCCTATACTTGAGAACCAAGAAAGCTTAAGGAAGCAGTTCAGGAATACATCACTGAAAAAATACAAATTACAAAATACAAATAAGGGAACTAAAACAGTGTAATACAAATATTTCATAATAGAAACACATGAGAACTTTTAATAAAATTGGAAAAAATATCCTGACTACAAAATTCTTAAGCCTTATGATACAGAGGAACACTGATAAGTGGTTAGCCCTGTGTGCAGTGAACCTGGCCCAAATGCTGGATATTGAAAAGAAGTGTTCTTGCATGTGCAGGTGGGAGCCTCAGCATGAGCGTAACACCAGCAAAAGTACTCCTGCAAGGTGGCCCCGTTTTCCTTAGCAGTGAAGTCACATTATTTCTTCATTACAATTATAGCAAATGGGTGAATTTAATCCTGCCCAGGCAGACTAAGTTCATACACTGTGGGTACCTGAAGCAGCCTGATCTTATTCTGTGATTGATTCCAAATATAAAAGTTGGAAAAATTTATTCCTTCTACAGCCTCTCTTCTATATCTCTTTTATTTAATTCCTCTTCCCTTGAAATCTCTCTCTCACCTTAGCCTAAAAGTATCTCTAATAATGTTTTCCTTTAAAATCTATTTTCTAACACTTTATAAGGTCTAGTTTTTGTTATCTTTTGCATGAAATACAGAATATTCTTTGGCTTACAACAACACTGTAAGTAAGTATCTGACAAAATAGCTAATAAATATTGTAATTAATTAAGGAATCACACAGGCATCTTGAAATTGGGGCTCTTATTAAATCTTCATTTATAAATTTGATATAGTTTTCTTTTCCTGCAAATGACAAGTCAGAAAATTAAAGATGAAAATAAATCTCATTTTACTGCTGGACTCTGCTACATGCCATACCAGCTGAAATGGGATCAGCGGGAATTCAATCAAGAGCATGAAAATGAAACTGAATCAATATTGTAGCCAAATTATAGATGGCATAAGTAAAGCATTAAATACATGAGGTTTCATATGTACAGAGTTGGAAGAACTTCTTCCTTGCAATTACTTTTTATCTGTTTTATTCAGTATTTTTAGCCACATTGGTATGCTTAGACTGTATCTGATGAAAAAGAAACAACACAAAACAGTGAAATATAGACATAGCTGAGGCTTAAGCATCTCTGAATGGTTTCTTGAATAAAGTTTTCAATTATGCATAAGTCAACAATATTAAAGATGATGCATAGCATAGTAGAGAGCCCAACCTGATAAACCTCTGCCTACATGAGAAGCATTAAATACCAAGATACGGGGAGGAAAAGGGTGCAGTGGGAAAGTGGCACTAACATTTAAGAGGTAGGAGGCAATGATAAGGAACAGCAACGCCGACTTCAGGAAGAAAGGGGTGGCAGCTGTAAATCCCACCTAACCAAAGACTCCCTTTGAACAGTGGATTAATAGAGTTATTTGTTGAATTGGCTGTCATCTAGTGGAATGATAGCACATTGCACCCCACCTTACAGGTCGGTAACTGTCTCCCTGACAAATTATCCAACATTTATATTTTGCATTTGGTCTCACGAGTGTGGATTTTGTAGTATTTTTCCCCAAAACCAACTATTTCTGAAGACTTGAAAAAAATAACTTCTCTCTCACATCAAGTCCCAAGATATTTCTTGATACATTTTTGTCTTTCTAGAATTCTTTTTTTCTATACTAAACTATCATATGGTAGGCTGGCCCTTTTTGTGTTTCATTTAATGATTTTTGAGACTGAATAATGTAAACTAATAATATAATTTAATTTGAAGGGCTTTATTGATAAATATGAATCTTTTTTCAACTTTCCACAGTGAAAATTACAGATGGACCAAATGCTAGTGCCATCTTCTTTCCTCTTGGACACTCAGATCTCATTTCAGATTCCTAAATAATCAATGCCAGACAGTGATAAAAATGGAAATGAGGCTAATGAGATGAAAAGAGCTTGATGACCAAATATCATATTGCATAGCTTGCAGAGTTATTTTTGGAAAAGAAGAAAAACAACACATGGAGTGCAAAAGGCAGCAAATCAATAAAGTAACAGCCTCAGATTTCATTATTTCTTGTGTTGCAATATAGCTAAGACAATGTACCTTCCTATGCATGTTTTACTCATTATTGGCAATAAACTACATCTATGACAAGAATGCAGCCTCTGACTTTACATCACCTATCCCAAATCCCTCATCTCATCTTTTAAAATTATTATAAAACCATAATGTGGACTATGAAGTCCACAGAAGTCTTTTTAAATTAATTCAGTAGTACTCCACTTGTTTGAAAACCCTGTAAGGATACTTGTCTCATGATATATTTGTACAGAATTCAGGAAAATATTTATTTGGCTGGCTTTAGAACTGTGATCCTGTATGTTAACCGCTAAAAAGCTGTCACAGTAACTAACATGCTAACCTAGCTGTCTTGACAGAGACCAGTTTTGAGGCTCCGCAATGTCAGTTTTGAAAAAAAAAAACACGTTTTTCCAGCACATCTGCCAAACTGTTTCTTCATCCTCTGACCAGGGACATTTCGACACATGCAGTCCCACTGTGGGCTTAAGCGTAACAAAGACAAGGCTGCCACCCAAAGCCCTGCCATTTCCCCCTTCCCATTCCTCTCCTTTCCCCTACCTCCTCCTTGCAGGTGTTAATTCCGCGGTTGCAAAGGCTGCCGCATCAGGGAGCTGAGCAGGCCGAAACGCCGAAGCACAACCCTTCCACTGCAAACCACCGCTTGGCTGCACCACGGTCAGCCCAAGGCCACCACGGAAAGGGCCCTCACGTCCTGCGGTGCCTCGTTTTCTCACGCAACGAGATGGCACCACGCTGAGCCCCGCGGAGCGGAGCTTGGGGAAGACTCCCGGCACGCAGGGCCGCGGGCGGGGAGGGCGGGCCCCGGCCCACACGGGACTCCTCAAACCGGACTGAAGCGGCCCCGAGGCTCAGCGCCGCTGGATTCGCCTCCCGCCTCCTCTACGTTGTAGTGGCGGTTTTCCCGGCCCCGGCCCCGGCCCCGGCCCCTGTTCCACCTGTGCGGCCACCCCGCCCCGCTGAGCGGCGTCCCGCGTTCCTATGGCGACGCCGCCCCGCCCCCTTCAACCACCCGCCGCCCTCACTCTTCGCTTTTGATTGGCTCTAGCACCCCGCCCCACCGCCCAACAGAAGCAAGGCGGGCGGGAATGTCCCGCCTTCTCCCTTCGCTGATAGGCCGATGGGCGCGGCCGGCGCCGCTCCTTTTGTGGGGCGGCGGTGGTCCCCTCCGCGCGCCGCTGACCAGCGGCTCCCAGCAGCCTCCTCGGCGGGCGGGGCCGCCGCCTGTTTACCGGCAGCTCCGCGTCACGTGACCCGGCGGGGCCCCGGCGATCCGCCCGAGGGGGCTCGTGCCGCCATGAGGGCTCTGACCCCGCGCTGGCGGCCGCTGGCGCTGCGGGCGGCGGCTGAGCGGTGGGGGCCGCCAGTCCCCCGACGCGGCTCCGCCGAGGCCGGCGGCCGCCAGCCCCTTCAGGAGTGGGCGCTGGCGGTCAGCCCCCGGGGGCGGCTGCGGGTGCGGCTGCCCTGCCAGGTGAGCGTCCGCCCGCTGGATCCGGAGCGCTACCCGGGCGCGGACCGCGTGCTGGTGGCCGCCAGCGGCGCCGGCGGCAGCAGCCCCCCGCCCCGCGGCCGCCTCCGCGTGGAGTACGATGAGGCGCTGGGGCAGATGGCGATCGTCGCGGACGGTGTGGACAGCAAGGCCGCCGTGGACGTCAGGACGCCCGTCAAGTTCGGTGGGTGAGGCGGGGATGGGGGAGGCGGTTGCCCGCCCGGCTGCCAGCCCGCTCCTGCCGGCGCCCGGAGCCCCGGGGAGGCGGCGGCGCTGCCGCGGGTGGGGCTCGCCGGGGAGCGCGATGCCGCTGCTGCGGCTGGAAGCGCTGTCGGCAGTGGGTACGCCCTCTCTAATTAAAGAGGTTCCAACCGTGCCGTTATTTTCTGTGTTTCCCGACTTCTAAGGTGTTGGTCACATGATTTCTTGTTGACCTTTTTTGTCGGCAGTAGTTAATGCTGAAACGCGTGCTAGTAAGTGGTAGTTGCAATGCCCGCTTATTTTTGCTCTGACAGTTGATATTCCAGAGAAGTAACTGCAGCTCAGCTGGTAGACAACGGTCCTTAGTATGCGCTCTGTACACCTGCAGTTCGAGGGATGTTTCCAGTGGCGTTCTTGGACACAACCACCTCCGTTAGTGGTTGTTACGCTGAGTGGCCATCCACAGCGATCAAAAAGTCTGGAAAGTAACAACAAAGATGAAATGCTGAGAAGGGCTCCCTTGTCTAGTACAACTGTCACATTATCTTTTTTTTGGCCCAAGGCAAAAATGTGTGCAGGGCTTCTAGTATAGAACCTACAGTCAACTTGGGAGAACAGCTGTAGTGGCTGAAAGGAGTAAGTATCCGTGCTGGACTGAAATACTGACAGTGCCTCTGAGTTCAGGGAAGGAAAAGGGCAAGCTTGCTAGGATAATTCCCCACAGTGAGCAGAGGTTTAGGGAGGACTTGACCCAGAGAGATTTGTATTTAGTTACTGATGTGATCTTTTTTTTTTTTCCTCCCCTAATGATTTGTGCAATTGCGTACACAGTGCAGTATAAGTTTCACCATGTTGGAAAAACTTTTTGATGTACAAAAACCCCAGTCCCTTGGTTTGCTTGAAGTGGTTGTTTAAGACTGCTGCTTTATTTCATTTGATGCTCTGCTGTAGTTGTGGTGTGAGAAATGGTGAATAAACTCATTCTGCCTACACTTCTTATGTCATCTGTGACTTTTGTAGAGCATGGTGTTATATTCTCTAAGCTACCACTTTTCCAGACCCTTACAGCAGAGACATTTGCACCTTTTATCTTCTCTTACACTTTTTTTTTCCTTATACCTTGATTTCTGCTATGTCATTTTCTGTATTATTGGGGGGGGGTTGTTATTGTTTACATTTAGGATGTGAACTATATATCATTCAAAATGGAGAAGTGCTATGGATTTGTCATAGCAGCATTCTCTTTCATTTTCTAGTCTTACTCATCCCTATAAGTTTTTTTTGGAACACTCTTGATAACTGAAAGGGTGTTTCTTAGATAGGTATACCAAAGCTTATGGTCTCTTGTTTCCTAACAACTAATATAGAGACAAACATTCTGTGAATAGAATCAGAGGCTTCCCCCCTGTCCCTGCCCTTGGTGTGCCTTACTTGGCCTATGTCGGAATGGCCATACTGATTTGTACTGTGAGTCCAGCTAACCCACTGTCCTATCTCCATCACTAGTCATAAGCAGATGCTTAGGGAAGAGTTAGAAACAGGACAAACATAAATGATATTTCATCTACATATTCTCTTCTGTCAGCAGTTTTCAGCTCGGGGTATTTTCTGAGCCTGCTACAGCTCAGCCCCTCAGTGGGTCTTTCTTCCAAGTGTCTGCTTACATGTGTGGACAGTTTCAGAGTGAGAGCTTCTAGGCAAATGCAGTGCCTCTTGGAAAACTATCCCAGAAAGCATACCATCCATTCAATTTCTTTGTATTTTATGATTCGGGTATGTGGTGTTCCAAGATCCTTCTCCAGTTTCTCATTGAGCATTTAACTTGTCTGAATAATTTCAGTGTTATTGTTGAAACTTTTCAACCTCTGTATTTGCGATGATTTCCAAAATGATGTAGTGTTGAAGATGATGCATAATTTACAGCAAAAAGATAATACAGGACTAAGGATATTGTCAAAGACCTCTGAAAGTCCATGTTCATTCTCTTAAAAAGATCAACTGTTACCTATATATTCAGTGGCTCTTTCACTGAACTGTAGCAGGGCTGTCTTCTCCAAGAGACTTTTGTAGTTTTGGCTCTTCCCTAAGAATTATCAGTTATGTTCTTACAGCCTTCCTTTTTTTTTTTTTTTTTTTTTTTTTCCTGCTTGGCAAGTGCAAAGATTACCTTGGCCTGTATGTAGTACATTCACAGCCTCCATCCCAGGATTACAGACAATCAAACCGAAACCCAATGTCCTTTAATTTCTCTGGTACCAGGTGTGCCTGGTTAGTGTAGATGTTAGTAAATTGATATTTCAGTTTCTTCAGGATCTCTGAGTGACTATTATGTGTTACTCCAGACCCTCAGGGGAATGGAATTCATTGTATTAAGATCTGGATAATCTCAGCCTTCATAAAGTGTTTCAATGTGGGGAACCTTCCTAAAGGTCTCAATAATGAATCCCGATTGATCGGGGGGGGGGGGGAAACCCACCAAAAACCACCAAACCTTTTAGCCTTTGTCCTGTCTTTGAGATTCTTATTATATTCTGAATGTCAACTAACCCTGCAGACTGTCTCACAGTCTTCCTTCTTGAAACAGGCTTTATTAGTTTGTAGTTTTCCAAGCTGTTCCACTTGGGTTTGTGGTAACTTCATGTAATGCAGGTTCCCTGGACTGTTGTCTTCTAGTTGCTGTCACTCCATAATTAGCATGATGTTAGTATTGTCTGTTCATGCTGTTATCCAGGCATATCTGGAGATATATTTCCTAAAATGTAAATATTTTTTTGTACTCAGTGAAGTAGAACTGCTACTTGTCAGTGATGTTATACTTTAAGTGTATTTGCAGCTCTGGTTTGGTTTTTGGGTTCTCTGAGTAGTAGTTTATGCTTAGGTTGTTTCCTTTATTTAGGAAAAAATTATCCATTAAAGGTCATTGCATAAGCAACTGATCTTACCCGTTGTAAAAACACATCTTGAACCAGAAAAAACGTTGTTGCTCTGCAAGCACTTTGGTATTTCTCTGGCCTTATTTGAATGCACGAGGAGGATGTTAATTTTGTTCCATTTAGACCATTTTATCTGAGCTTTCTTTCTGTCACTTAGCTGTAAGAAGTCAAGAAGCTGATGTGAATGACTTACAGTATTCTAGCTTCTTTCTTCATTTTTGAAGTTAAGGCATTTCATAATAGCTTTTGCCATTTAGGTTGGAGTTTGTCCATGAAGCTCCAAGTTAGCTAGAACTCCTTAGACTCTGAATAGCATGTGTAGGAGATGCTAGATTGAGATTAAATACACGTTTTAAGCCAAAGGAAACATGTACTTGCACTTCTTGGCTGCTTACTTAAGGATCCTCTATTTCTTTGTGTCTTGTCCTATGCTGTGTGTTGTCTTTCAATATCATACACAATCTGATAATCCTCTCTGATAGAGTTAACCTTCATAAATTATAGATGTCGATGAATTTCTCTTTAATCTAGCTTGTTTATTTTTCTTCAGGTCACATGTATATATTGACTCTTTATTCGAGGGACAGTGTAGGCACGTGGCTGTAGATTCGGAGTCTGCTCAGCACATAGAGAACCCTGTCACTTGGCATATCAAACTGCATGTGCTAATTAAACCTGAAACTAGCTCTTTGATTTCTGATTACTGTACATGGACTAAGTACTCAGAGGTAGACCTGACGGGTCTTGAATAACTAGAATTTGAGAACCATCTGTCCTGTCTTCCCATGTGGTTTTTATGTTTTGCTTTTGTAGGAACCTATTATATTAGAATCATAGGATAATTGAGATTGGATGGGGGGACCTCAGAAGATTTCTAGTTCAACCTTCATCTCAAAGCAGGGTCAACTCCAAGGTCAGAGGAGGCTGCTCAGGGCTTTATCCACTCTGGTTTTGAAAACCCCCAAGAGTGAAGACTACACAACCTCCTTTGGCAAACTGTTCCAATGCTTTTCCATGGTATACCCTGGTGAAGAGAGAAGAGGTTTCTATGACAAAGTCAAGTAGAACTGTAAGTTTTGAAGCAGTAGCCAAGCTTCACCAAATACAATATAAAAGCTTTGTCCCCTCTGGCACAGGATCCAAGCATTCATGGCCAAGGCCCACTTATAAGCCAGTGTGGGGTTTTTTTTAATTATTATTTTTTGTTTCTTTTTTATAATCAGTTCTCTCTGTGGGAGAACTTCACTTTCACATCTGTTTTACTTAAGCCTATAAGGTCACTTCCCTTTTTTGGCTAAATACTGTAGATTCTTATGGGCTTAACTAGGCAAACTGAATGGATCTTGAACATTTTGGTGAATTACCAACATCATTTTATTGTATACCTTAAACAGTTTTTCTGCCTACTTGTATGAGGGGAGAACCTAAGCTCCTGGGACCTCTTTGCTTCTGTTGTTTTTTTTTTTGTCAATGTTAATGGAAAGCAGATGTGAATGTTTTCAACAGTGTGTGTTTCTGAAGTCTAAACATATTAATGATTTGGGAAAAAGATCCTACGCATCTGTTCCTAAGGATGGCAGACATACAGCCTCAGAGTAGCCATCAATAAATACTTTTTCCTGGACTGAATATTTTTACATATATGCCCACTTACTGATAAGCTTCCTCTATAAGCAAGGAAATGGATCATCGTGAAGTACTGCTGGTGGTCCAGGGCTGCAGAATCACTTTAGAATAAGTATTTTACCAGTCTGTTTCAAATACTACCGCTTAAGGTGCTATTTCTGGGGTACCCTTGCCTGTATCCTGATACCACAGGTCTTTTTTTCCCTATGTACCTTTATTTCCAGTATACCTTTGCACCGCAGTGATCTTCATGTGTTCGTCGAGGTTTGTGTGGCTGAAATTGGCTTCAGCCCTCAGCTTTGCTAAGGAGGAATCAGACTAGCCATTTTTTGAGCTTTGGCACTGAAATAGACTGTATCCTGTTCCTCCTTGCTTGTTGAAATTTAGTTAACATTAAGTTAAATCCAGCTCTTAGCCTGCCTCTTTGTGGAGTCACCCTTGCTTCAGGAAGCCTGTTTGTGAGACAGGGATTTCGTTCATTGTCCACTGATTCTTATATCAAGGCTGGCAAAGCACTGTGACTCTGCAGAGGTTCAAGGCACAAAATATGTTTCCAGGAATCCGTGGTGTTTCTTAACAGCAGTGATCATGAATTGCCAGAATTGTGTCTTTTCTTGGCACCCATCTTTGGTACATCTAGGATTATACCACTGTTCTACCTTTCAAATTAAGTCCATAATAAGCCCTGCGGGATCAGTTTTTATTAACCTTACTCCTATAAAGGTCCTAGTAAGTTCATATCACTGCTAAACTGACTGATCTTAGGACTTTTTCTCCCCCCTTTTGACAGAAGTAATAAGGGTAAGAGGCTACCAAACTGATTGAATTAAAAGATTTGCCTAAGCAAACTTGCTTTTGGACCTCTTTCTCCTCTGAAAGGAAAAAAGCAAAAGTCTGGGATGTAGACCCTCCTAAGGACTATGGGTTTTCCAGTGGGTGAATTGAACAGTTCTGAGCAAGAAAGCTTGTATTTCAAAAATAATAGTTTTCTTTCTGAACTCTCCAGATTTGTGCTGTGCAGGGACATACTGTTTTGAGCTTCGATGTTTGGAGGTGCCTCTATTCGTGTGTCTCTGGGAACTGTGTTTAAACAACCCAACTGCTCCCTGAGAACCAAAACCTTATGGAAAAGTTTTGTCTGCCTGTCTCAACAACTTCAGGACCTGTAGATCTGCATCAAATTGAAATTGTTCAGATACCACTCAGATATTTTTATAGTCTGGTGAAAATGTCTAGGCTTTACCAACATAAAACCTTGTGGTGCTTGCCCTCGAGCCTCTGATAATAGTCACCTGTCCAGTTTGCCAGGTTTTGTGCTTTTACATGCCTCAAAGCTTCTCTTAGAGTTGCTTAAATTTAAGAAACACACAATTTGATTAAAATCTTGGTCACAGTATCTCTTTCTTGGAAGTCTTCCATGAAGAGGCTAAGAAAATAATATCTGCAAATAAGCCGGTTTTCCAGAAAGCCGTTTTATCTAGTCCACCTCTTCTTGCCCCCTTTCATAGAGAATTGTTACCTGGAACACAATCTGCATCCTTCACTAAATTTAACCTCTTAAGCTTACTGTGGCAATAAGGTAGCACTCTTGCAGCAAAACTGTGACGTGTTTTATCTTTGCCTCTTGGATTTTCCTGGTTTGTCAAAACAAATTACTCCCTCGATAAGAGTTCTCTCCAAGACCTAGTGCCTTTTGTTCTGTGGGAGCCTATGAACTGTAGTGAGGTGAGGTGATTCAGGCTAGAGGCAAACATGCTTGTTCATGTCAGTGGGGTAAGTCATGCCTTCAGAAGGCTAGGGAAGAATGACGCATGCAGACTCTTCAATACCTGTTGTTTTGTGTTTAATGCTGCTTGCTAGTTGAAACAACATAGGTCTAAGCAAGACCTATGTATTTGTGCTCTTAAATCTTATTACTCTACATGTGGCCTCATACAGGCTGGCAGCCTTCCTGCCCCAAAACCTATGTGAGGGTACCCAAATGTCTCAGTAGAATTGCTAATAGAATTGGTGACTAGGGTGGCTATAGAGATGGAGGTGGAATTTGGGAGTGGGTTAAATAAAAAAGATAAACTGTAATAAAGGACCACACCCTGATTCCTTGCCAGAGGTTACAGTCACTTTGCTGCCTATTAATGTTCTCACTTGAAGCTGGATGGCTATACACAGGCTTACAAAATTTTGTGTCAGTTGTTGATAGTGACTAGTCATGCAGTTGCAAGTGTGTGGCCAAACTTTGCAAGGTTCTTTAGTAACAAAAACTTATTTTTTTCCGTACTATATGTAGTTACCATAGAAAGTGATCAAGTACTGTGTTAAATAGATCTGACTTTTCTCATTCTGTTGCTAATAAAACTCTTTTAATTCTAGATTTGGATATCAAAACATCAGGGACTGGATGCGTGAAGATTCAGAAAATAGAGTGTGATAACTGCAAAATAGAAACGGAGAAGGGGACTAGTGTCTTGCAGTCAATAAAGGTACAAAGAACCCTACCTCCCCCACTCAGTCAGTGTCTTAAAAGGGATTGTGTGGTGGAATATAGTGTAAAAACTTAAATTCCAGTTCTGGAGATAAGTACTCTGATATTTCTAAGTGTACTCTGTGTGTAGCACCTCACGTTTACTGCATACAGTTACAGCACAGTCAATAACACTAAATAACGTGGAGTCAGAAGTCCACATACCGTTGATGATAACCAAAGCCAGCAGAAACAATGATGGTAGTAAGCTTGATATCTACCTTCCCTGCCCCTCAAAAAACCAAACCAAACAAGCAAACAAAAAACAAACAAACAAACAAAAAAACTGACAGAGGTTAGTAGATTAATAGTTATGCTTGCTCAGTATGCTGCTTCTATTTTTTTTTTTCTGCATGTTTTTATAATTCTGATGTATCAGTGCTACTGGTAAACTCTTCAGGTTAATTTTCAGTTGTAAGTTACATATTACATGTCCAAAATACCCAACTGAAATGTATCTGATAAATACTGTATATATGATGATTGTGGCCTTTTTTCATTCTTAAGACTTCAAGTTTGGTGACACAGACTTTTGTAGAAATAATCAAAGACTTGGGTGCTGTTTGGAATCAATTTAACTTGAATAATTGAGATTGTACCTGCAGGAGTTGGTATAAATTTAAAAGAAAGGAATTACCATATTTGAAAAGCTTAAGTTTAAGTATTTTTGAGATTAAAAATCTTTCAACGTTTTTCTTTACCATGATAAGAGATTATTTTATGGCACACATATGGAAAACTGAATTTAAGGATAAATTTAATATATAATAGAGCTAGGTTTACTTCATATTCAGTGAACTACAGACAACTTGTGTCTTTCAGATTCCGTGTAATTGAGCATATCACTCTTTTAAAAAGTAACTAAAATCTAACAGAGTTAACTGTACTATATGTTACTGCTGTCTAAAGCTTTGGTTAAAAATGGCTCTGTTGTATAATAACAGCAGTACGTGAGAAACTACACAGTATGAAATAACAAAGTAGTTTTGGCCAGCAATAGTGACAGTAATCAAAGCATGCCATCACAACTGTCAAGAATTTTTTGTGATGTCTTTCCTCAAAACCCTCTTTTTTCATGACAGCTAATTAATTTTTTGGTCATCTTTTCTCTTCTACAATCTGAGATGTGAAAAATGTTTAATTTTAAAAATTAAAAAGTCAGTTCTATTTTCCTTGAGACTACAAGGAGCAATGAAACAGTACTCTAATAAACTGAAAAGAAGGATGACAAGTCACCAGTTTGGGGCTTCTGAGAGCAGCTCCTCCACAGCTTCATAGTAGTTTAGAGGAGCTTGGTGTTGCTTTTTTCCTCTGTCAACTTTGAGCATTGCTTAGTTGGCAGAAATGTCAGAAAAGCTACAAGTGTAAAAGGTGATCCGTCCCCTGTGCATGTGCCTCAATGTCTCCAATGCACTGGTGGCCCCAGGAAGCTTCTTTGCTCCCATACTGAGGTGAGAGGAAAATGGCCTTGTCCCAGAAGTCATTTAAAATTTTAAGAATCAAGAAAGAACTGCAGATTTCAGCTGAAACTCTAGTTAAAACAAAGCTTTGTTGGATTATAATGTTTTGGCTTTTTTTAATCAATTACCCAAAGTATTCTTTGGGGTTCTGAGTGGTGATTGGTTGTCTTTGTGCTAGTTACTATGAGAGCTTCAGCATACGTTCTACAGAAGATACGTGACCCCTCTTGGGTTTCTTAACTCTGAAGTAGTGAGATGATTCTCCTTTAGGGAATGTGCTTTACTGAGCAAACTGAAGAGATACTGCCCTCCCCTGGTTGGATTAAAGTGCTGGTTAATGTTGTGTCACTGTCATGCTGTCCATAAACCTCATTGACTAGCAAAGCAGGAGACCTTTTCTTTACAGTAGAGACCAAAATATCATTGATCAATGACTCAAAATAAGTTAAATCTGGTCATGTGGGGGTTAAAGAGCACCAGCAAACAGCTTCATGGCTGCTAATTCATTTAACTTGCAACAGACTTCAAGAAGTTGACTGTATAAATAGTAATTCAAAAAACTTGATGATTTTTGGTATATTACATAATGTATTTACAGAAGACATAGAAATTTGACCTCTACTTTCCTTAAGCATGCATGCTAGTAATTGAACAGAAAAAAATGAGCATTCTGTATGAGGTTTTTTTAATGGACTTTGGTAGTTTTAGTGTGGTAGACATTATCCAACCAGTGAGATTTGTTGGGGGTTGTTTTATTGAGATTTTTTTTTGTTGGTTATTGTTTTTTAGTTGGTTAAAGCTAAGTTCACCCTATCCCTTCCAAGTCTCTATGACAGCTGATAGTAGCATTAATTCCAAAATACAGCTATGACTTCTGGGTCATTCTAGGAGCACAATTTATTCCCAATTTTTTTATTGATAAAGCAGTGCTACTTTTTAATTTTTTTTCCTCTACTTCTTATTACAGTCTGTCAGCTTAGCAGTGATAGTGGGACCAAGGAGACCCTTTAGTTTTGTTTCTGTGTTCAGTGATTACTTCCGATTCCTTGGCTGTGCCAGTGGTAACAAGAATTTCCAGGTGTCTCACGCATGATCAGTAGAAGACTGCCATGCTTCCTCACCACACACCATGTCTGAGCCTGATTGGTTGAAGTCCTGCACCGCTCTCCTTCTTTTCTTTGAACTTAATGTGTTTTTCTTTTAATGTCTGTCATGACCTTGACAACCTTTACTTCTTCCTTACTCAAAGCTCTCTCCCTTGTTAGAAGCCCTACAACAAATCGGTGCTTCTTTCAGCTGGTGGAACATTCCCTCTTAATAAAAAAGCTACTTGATGCTTAACTTGCTTACTCTTTCAGCAAATCCTGCTGTCTGTTAGGTGTCTCCATTTATACCTATATCTGAAAGCCTGGTTTTTATAAGAGGATAGGCATAGTCTGATAATTCTAGGGTAAAAAAGTTTAGGGACCTGTGTCTTATCAAAACTTTTTCTATCCCAAAAAGGACAGAGTTAAAAAAAAAAAGGTATAAATGTGTGTAGGCTGTGGTTTTATTTTACTTAAACATTGGTGGCCTTACTGGTCAGTCATTGCTATACGTTAGTTCTTCTGATCTTAGGGGTCCCCTCAAGTTACATGTCTGGCAGGTTTGTTCTTTAACCATTATTCTGATAACGTGCCTAATGTAACTGCCTCAAAGGAGCTGTGATGTCTCTCTGAATCATCAGATAATTAAGCTGAAGCATCTAATTTAATTTTATCCTGTTTACTGTATGTGCAGAAAATAATCTACTGTATTTGTATAGAAGCTTAACTGAACAGCTGAGTTATTTAAAACCATTAAAAGGTCTGAAGCACTACTGTAGTCTCAAGTTAGGGGCATTTCATTCTACTGTTGGTTAAAAAAACAAACAAAAAACCAAACAAAAACAAACAAACAAAAAAACAAACAAACAACAAAAAAAACCCCACCCACCTATATTGAGAATAAAGAATTCCTCAGCATCCTTCTTTCCCTTGTGTTTCTGGTTACAAATAAAGGTGACTTGTTTGGTGTTTGGCTCCAGAGGAAATACACAGCACATGTGGAAATCACTTGAAGAAATCTTCACAGTAAAATGGAAGTTTGTGATCCAAGGTGGTTATGGTGATACAGCTTGAAAAACAAGATAGCTTGTTTTCTAAGTATGATTATCCTAACCATATGCATGTTAAACTTTTTTTCAGAGCCATAAAATTGATATACGAACAAACGGTGGCAAAGTAATTGGTCTTGGAACACTTTACGGAAATATAGATATTCGTGCAACAGAAAAGGGTGTAAGTAAGAAATAAAACTTTCTCTGCAATGACTTGTTTAGCTTGTCTGTTGAAAAACGAGTAAATTTTGAAGAATGTACTGAGAAATATTTAATAGTCGTCATTGGTAGGTTGTGGTTTCACTGTTAACTTACATTTGTATGTTTAATTCCACTATCTTATGTTATACTTGATTTGAGTTAGTAAACAGGCTTCACAGAAGGAGAGGTAATAAGCATGTGATCATTCCATCCAGCGCAGAGGTTGTGCTAGCTGATACAACTTTACTTAAACAGACCCTCACAACACACTTAAACTTTTTATTTGGCTGATACCTAAGCAACTGGATTCTGCAATAGGCCTATGAGTTTATTTTAGTTTCTCATGAATAGTGGCTTGATATTTGTACATGCTGTACACTTCCAGAATTATGTAGTTGTAAGAATGGAAGAGTAGAAGGTTTTGTGTATTTTTTGGCAGCTGAGGATCACATGTAATCTTGTTATGAGATGCAGTGAGAAGAATCATAAACATAAAAAGTTTCATAGAGAAGTAACTTGCTTTTTTCAGCAGATGGCAGTATGAGACAAACTTCATGCTATAATCTGGTTTTGTTTGTTGCCATAAGTAGTCAGTTCTCCATTAATTAAATAACGTAGTGGTAGGCTCCCTTACATAATGCTACAGTTCTCACACCCGGTCTCGTTTTAGGCTCAGCTTGGATGTTTAGGCATCACAATGTCCATGCAACCAGATTCATTAGATCTGAAGCATTGGTATATGAACAAGTGGAGCTAAGCCAAGTCTGGAAGTAGCTTGGATGCATGTAGTACTCTGTCAGGATCAATAGGTACCCTTAAAATCAGCATCACTGGGAAGAATCAGAAAGAGTTCAGGTAGTTCTTCCTAGACAAGGATGGAACTGGGGCCAAGCTACTAAGTTCTAGGAGTCCAAAATTGCTTCTGTGATGTGCCATTTGGCACTGTTGTACACCTTGTAGCTTGGGTTCTGGGATCATATGTTCACTTACAAAGAGCCAGCTGTGAGCTGTTCTTAATGTACTGCTATAAACTAAGCAACTCACTGACTTTTCCAAAAACTGTCAACGTTAAATTACCTTAATTTCTTTGTAATGTATGTTAGACTGCCTTTTATGTACAAAAGAGCCCAGGGGCTGCTGTATCCATACTGCTCTTGGGAGTTGCTTAGTCTGGAGAAGAGGCTATGGGGAGACCTTACCACTCTCTACAACTACCTGGAAGTAGCTTGTAGCATGGTGAATGATGGTTTCTTTTTTTTTCCCAAGTAACAAATGATATGACAAGAGGAAATGGCTCCAAGTTGCACCAGGGGAGGTTTAGATTGGGTATTATGAAAAATTTCTTCACCCAAAGGGTTGTCAAGCATTGGAACATGGAAGTGGTTGAGTCACCACCCCTGGAAGTATTTAAAAGATGTGTGAACGTGGTGCTTAAGGACATGGTTTAGTGGTGGACCTGGCAGTGCTAGGTTTATGGTTGGACTCGATGATCTTAAAGGTCTTTTCTCCGACTTAAACGATTCTATGATTTATATTTCTTCATGAACATTATTTCATCCCAGCAAGACTTCCCAGCATAAAACAGAGTGGGTAAGGTCTGACTGTGACATGCTCTGTTGATGCCACAGTTGGACTCATCAGTGCTTATCGATTGGCAGTTCCCTTGGGGCTACTACTAGTTAGTGGGGTAATAGGATCCATCCTAAGCCACGAGCAGCCACAGGCTGTGGGATAGGGCAGAGGTCGTTTACAGCTTTCTTGATGTCATCCATCTTCTGCAGAGGGCTTCTGTTGGAAGGATCTGAAAACTGGAATCCTTGCTTTCTACCAGTGAGTAAGAATGAGTGTAAGCTATGAAGTGCTTTGACTGCAACAGATTCATGCTGTTCATACTATACTAGCATGGTAGTGGTCTTTAGAGTTGTGCTGCTTAGTCATTTGTTCCAAACTAGTTTGTTACACCAGTTCAGTCCATGGAGTTAATTTCAAATAGCATCTTGCTGGTGTTGATAAAAACAAGTGGATGGTGGAAAAATAATTAGTTCTATATCTACTTGAAAATACAGTTATGAAAATGAGAATATAATTTTTTTGCTTTGAGTTTTTAAATGCTGTTTAAAAATCTAATCTTTTCAGACACACTGGCCTTCTGAAACAATAAAACAAACTTCTTGCGGATTAAGTTGAAGTGCTTCTTTGTGATCATAAATATTTATATGGTTTGTAATATTGCTAGAAGTTACTCTTACAGTTGCGTAGCTGTAGAAACCTGAGTGAAGTGAGTCATTTTAACAGGAATTTACAGCTACAGAACAATATTTTGGCTTATGTTATTGAACTTTTCATTAACAAACTGCTGTGTAGTTAGGAAGTACAGTGCAAGATTTCTTTTCTCAATTGACCACTTCTGTTAATAATCAGTCAGCATCACGTCTCCTCTGTGTGTTTGTACAAGATGTTTCTTCCACCAGTTGTAGTCATCATTATGTAATTATGGCTCTGTCAGCATTTCCAGCCCCCTCCTGGAGGTGGGGAGGGAAAGGATGTGGTAAAAGACACTAAGTGCTTGAGAAACAGAAGATATTTTTAAGGGGGAAAATGGAGAAGACGCTAGTAAGATATTTGAGCAAGGGCAGCACAAAAAGGAAGGCCAAGAAGAGGAATATGTGGGGAAGGAGTTGCTTGTCTTAGCCAACATCTTGCTATGTTTAAATTTCATATTGAAAATGTGTTCAGGTGCAAAAACATTCTCAGTCTGATTTATGAAGGTAGATTGACACTTCTTCTTTAAAAGCTAAGAAACTACTGGAACTTGAGCCAGTGGGTCAGTATCAGTAACTGCAACCCCCCAGGCTCTACTCTCAAGGGAAGGAATTTTTCCAGAAAACCTGATGGTTCAATGGACAAAAGTAATCAAATTTATTTGACTGAGGAATCATTAGCTAATCTGTGCCACTGGGACTTTCCTATAGCACTTATTTAATAGAGCCAAACATCTGTGTTCTGCCAAAAATTCATAAAAGTTAAAGAATTTGGGATTGAAAACGTACTTAGTCTCAGAAGGAGGCAATCTTTTTTTTATGCTTTCCCTATCTAGAATACTTTTTTAGTTTTATACTTGAGCAGTCTGACTTCCCCCCCCAACCCCTAAATTGGGTTATTATGAAACATGTTCATTGTATTGGTAGGTTTTCTTTTTTAATAGTAACTAGCTGACTCAGTACTACTTTGTATCATGTGCTGAGACAACTCTATTGTTGTGCATTTTTAAGAAAGGTAGTTAAGGCTGGTAAATAAGATGGCTTAGTGTGTGAGCTTGTTTATTATAAAGCACTTAATAATATTTAATTAAGATAAATAAATCAAAGTTTGCATACCAAAGTAACAGATGTAGCTTTTTGGGATTGCCTTTTCCCACTCAGGAATGCTACAAGGCATCCTGACAGACAGCCAGTTTGCACCCAAACTATGCAGATATTTTTATTTATCTGCACCCCCAGCCGCTTAAAGTGTGCCTCTGTTTTCATTGTGCTGCTAGCAATGATGGCCCTGCTAAAATTGGAAAGATTCTTTGTGAGTCATTTATCTCTCTTCAGAACAGGTTTAGATCGTAGAACCTCAAATGACAATATCTTTTCTTATTGCTATGGCCATGTACCACAGCAGATTTATAATTTGCCATCCTATGTGAGTAGTGAAGTACTCTGTGGGAAACATTCCTAGAACAGATACAGTGTAAACTTATGCTTGTAAGGTATCTGCTTGTTTTGTTAGAACCATTGAAAGATTGAAAAGCTGAATTGCTGTCACCTTCAGTAGTGGCAAATTATGGCTTAATACCATGGCGTTTGTTGCTTAGATTCTGTAGCTAGTTCTAAGCAACATCACCTGCAGAGATTGTAGATATTGACTGTTGTATATCTCTAATTCTAGCACAGCACTTTGATCACCAGATTTTCTTAAAGGTTAATGTACGTTGTTACATTCTTGAAGACCTACTTTCTATTGTAGCACCATGTCAGAAGTCTTAAAGACAATAGTCCATTCTATAATCTTATGGTGTAAAAACAGTTAAAGCTCAGTAGGTATGGATTGGTAAAGTCACAGTATAATTTGGCTGTCATATAGTCCATACTAAACCAGCCTCCTTAGCTCACTTCTTGGGACACAATACAGCAGAGAGTTTGTGCAACACTAGTTGCTGTTTGTCAGAATACCTCTTTCTTAATTCATAGTTTGTTTCTTATATAATGCTGGAAGAGTCAGCTAATTTTTTTTGTATTAAATTTTTTCTACAACATGACTGCTAAAATGACAAGGTGGATTTAAAGGCAATTTGTCATGAGGCAGAGTTCAATCTAGAAGGTCATATATCATCATGTAATGGCTGAAGATTTTGTGCAATCCACTTAGTCTGTGTAAGCAAAGTAAAACCAAGTTGAGTGGGGGTTAAATATGAAATATTGCGTGATGCCATCATAGATAAAGTTTAACTGAGAATAGAATTCATATGGTAGTTGCATGTGATTTGTTCTGTTTTGTTCAGATAGACGTAGGTTATCTCCCACAATTGATGGCTTGTACATAATCTCATCTATCACCTTTTATTCCCCAGATCTAACCACAGTGCAACTTTTCAAATCTTACTCTTTTTCTCCATTTCTATTGAAAAGAAGTAGAAATGGAGATCTTATCTCTCTCATGTTTCAAGGCTTTGTACAGCTTGAGGCTTAGGACCCAGAATAGAGGCCTGATTAATCGAGGTAATATGAACAATTATACTGAGAAAAAGAGCAGCTGTGGCTTTTTTGCAAACCTTCACCAAAGTTGTATCTACAAAGTGAGACGGGTAAAAATCTAGTTGTATGTAACAGATAATGGATGTTTCAGGATGTGGTGGCAGAAAACTGATTACCAATGCCTTAAGTGTCATAATACTGTATGAACATTAATTCTTTGTTATTAAAGCTAATCCTTTTTTTTTTTTACTTTTCAAAATTAAGTGTGGTGGGTTTTAAAAATCAAGTTTTTCTTTCATGTGTTTGATTATTTGGGTTCTTCACCAGTATGATGGATGTAATAATTCATAGGAATGTTGTAAAGAATTATTAACTTGTTGGTCAGAGCTCTTGAATGAAAAGGTTTTTTGTTTTGTCTTGTGTAGCTTTTAACCAAGAAGTTGATTCCCTTTTTTGTACCAACAACTGCTTTCTACTTGTTTTGCCTCTTAAAACTGTTACTTCCCTCTGCCTTTTCAAACTGTGGTGACAAGTTTTCCATTATGTTTATTTAAGTTTATTTTTCTTAGAGTGTGAATATAGAGAAGCTGCAGGGGACATCCATCAACATATGTACTGAAGATGGGCTGCTGAAAACTAAGTACCTTTATGCAGAATCATCATCTCTGTCTTCAGTAGGTGGTGATATTCTACTGGGAAGTATTCATGGTAAGAAGGAAATACTGTCACATGGTTAGGAAAATAGTGTCGCAAGTTTAGCTGCTTTGAAGGTATTGGAAATGTTAACAGTAACAACTGGACTAATGCTATAGGCTGTCACTAAATCAACTCTGCACAATATATGAACAAAACAGTTCTGTATGTTAGGGATAGAATTGCTGAGAATTAATTTACCATATAGCATACTGTATTTACTTTTAGAAAACAATTTTATAACCACACTTGTGAAATAGCAAAAAGTATATATCGTATGAAAGAAACCTCACATACACTAAGGATGCCAAAATATTTTAAAAATGTGCAATTAAAGGTGTGTTAAAAGTAGTAAAGAAGCCTCTCCCCCTCTCTCCATCCTTATTTTCTTCATAGAAGTAACTCTTACAGCATCTCCTATGGTAGAACTCCATCATACTTAGAAGTTTTTAGCAGAAATTGTGTGTGCTAGAACTGTATACTTATAGTGGTAACAGTTTCTGATTTTTTTTGATTGGGGGAAAAGTCTGTAATCGATCCACCCTTTAATGTACTTCACCTAGAACGAAAACTAATTAACTTGAGTGTCTTATATATGAAACAGCTGTCAAGGCTGGAATCTGGTGTGGCTTTCTAATTTAAGAAAATTCCCACTGAATTCTGACTGTGCTGTAATGCATTTGTGGTGATTTAACATTAAATAAAATAAACTGGAAGATGTACAAAGTGAAAATTACTCAAAGTCAGTCAGAGATCCAGATTTTCAGGTATATGTCTTATAAACAATTTGCTGCAATTTCTTAGAAATTTTGTGTTGTCATCTTGCTTGAGAAGCCCGCTGTTTCCCTATAGCTGATGGTATGCTGATATTATAGTTGATGTAAAATCAGCACGTCTGTGCACAAAACTGAGCTGGACTTCATTGCTTTTGCACTGAGAACTTTGAAATCAGGGCAACACAAACTTTACAAACCTGCCTGAGACCCATTTTGTAGTTGAGTCTTGGGCTGTACAATTCCAACGCTGTCAGTGCCCAAGCTTTCTTAATCGTTCTTTTGCACGCTTCATACTTATACAGCAAATTAATAATGCATTATTTTGAAGACATTTTGAGTCATTTGCATCAGTTTCTGTTACAGACATTAGAGATGTTAGGTGGTATTGAGCTTTTGAGTTGATAATTGGAAAACAAAAGGACAGCAGCTCTAAGACTGAGAAATGTGCTACTTCATCCAAGGGACATTAACATTACAGTGAAACTTCTCCACAGAGGCACATAGGAGGAAAAGGAAATCCTCTTTACAACTGTGCAAAGTCTTGGATTGTGTTGCATTAATTATGAATTTATTTTATCAACAACATAGCTTAAGTTGGAAAGGAATTTGATATCTAGTCCAAAATAATGCTTAAAGTGGAGTTAATTAGAGCAAACTTGTTCATGGCCTTGCCTAGTAATTGCATGACCGTTCTGGGCAACTTTTTCCAATCCTGAATTATCCTTCTGGTAGAAAAAAAAACCACTTTTTTTTAATCAATTTCCATTATGGAAACTTGTAACCATTATCCCTTCTTGCTGCATCACCATGAGAAGTGTCTGTGTCTCTCTCCATACCCTCCCATTAGGTAGTTGAAGACCACAGCAAGATTCTTCCTCAGCCTTCTTTTAAAGCAAACCAAACCCAGATTTCTGAGCATCACTAGTGTGCTGTGGGCCCCTAATCTTAATATCCTTCTCTGGCCTCACTTCAGTACATCAGTGTCTTTCTTGACTGGGAGGCCCAGAATTGGACACACTACTCCAAATGCAGTCTCACACGAGGGCTTTACCTGCTGGCTATACTCTTAATTGTATAGCTTGGTATGCAGTTAACCTTCTGTACTAATACTGAAACTGGTGTCCATCAAGATGCCCAGGTCCTTACCTGCAAAGCTTCTTTGCCAACAGTCAGCACTCAACTTTTACTGCTTTATAGGGTTGATTTGTCTCATGAACAGGACTTTATATTTTCTTTTGATATTTTCTTCTGTCATAGTATAGTAACTATTTCATTATGTGATAAAATCACACTTGAAAGCAAGGTATTGCAGTTACTTTATATATTTACACATTAAATAATATATAGGAAAAAATGAACCCTGCCTTACCCTGTCAGTGACCTGAATATGACAAATTAGAAAATCCGCAATGTTTCAAAGGTAGTACAGTATAATGCTTGAGCTTAGCATTCTATAATCCCTTCTGAAAAGAATCTGATATACCAAAGTGTGTTCCATAAATTACAGCTATGTTTCTGGATTTCACTGTATATAAAGTGGGCTTGTAAAAATTAAATTTTAGTTCCTTTTTAAACATGTCTGTACTTCAGTCTGATGCACATATAAAATGCAGAGTCAAAGTGGTAAAAAGCTGCGTGGTGATTTATTTGCTTTTTCTGTGCATCAGAATAACCCTGCCACCTTGAGAGCCTTCAAAACAAAATGAAAAAGTGGAAAAAATACAATGTAAAGTGGTGCCTTTATATCCCAAAAGCCATCTTTTGCCACCAATCCTATACTGTTCCTGGCTTGCAATACTGTAGTTTGAAGTTTTATAGTGTTTATAAAGAAGCAAAGCTTGTACATGATAGAAAAGATAACTGTTTCTTCAGAAGCAATAACAATAATAAAAAAAAGCCACTAAGCCACTATTATCAATATCCTGTTAAAATTATTATATTTTGGACTTAATAGTATTGCACTACAATGCTGAAGTCAGTTGGGTGTAATAAACTAATAATTACCTCTATTCAGGTCTTTTTGCCCTTGATGTGTCCAAAAAATACTTGGCTAGCTTAAAAATTGTCAGTAAAGTGTTGGCCTTCATGGAACAACTGCACAACCAAAAGTACACTTCTCTGCACTGTCTGTAGGCAGTGCAGGTCACAACACAGCAGAACATTCCTATCTGCTTTAAAAGCAACTTTTGTTCTGGCTAAATGTTTGAAGTGAGCCTATCGCATTAATATGCTTACATTATGCAACATTAGTCGTATCTGCCATATAAGTTTGTGGTTAATAGGGTTTGACTTCTACATGTTTAATATTTTTCAAAGACCTTCTTATCAAAACAGAAAATAAAACCCAAAGAACAGAAGAGCAAATCTGCAAGTCTCAGGGGCTATATTCAGAGTATAATCTAGCTTCAGCTCCATGGGAGTTGCTAGCTGACAAAACCCCAGGCTTTTTTTGTAGTTTGTACAAAAATAAGTACTGGTCATGGTAAAATGGGGGAAAGGGTAGGATAATTATAGTGTACCTTTTAAAAACAGCGGACAGTAAGGCTAAACGTCTTTCAAGTTCATTAAAACATGGTTTTGTTTCAACTCTGATTTTCAGAACCACTAAGCATTTTGTACAGTATGTGTTTGAAATGTTGACTTTAAGACTACTGATGATAGGCTGTTTTTCTAGATCTCAGCCCACAGAACACTAAGAAAAACGCTACAGGTCATACACACTGGAATGCATTCTACCCTAAACACTGTTTACTACTGTGTAATTACAGAAGATGGGAGAAGAGCTTGATTTTTGCAAATTTTAAAGGCCTCTTCCAAAAAATCTGAAAATTGTTGTATTACTGAATTGGACTAAATTACTGTCATCAATCTTATTTTTCAATCTGTTACCCTCCTGGGAGGATGGGAGTGGCAGGAATGACATGCTGTGGTTTAGTTTTTTAATTTAAAGTGGGTTTGTGAGGCAATTATAGATGTGTAACATACGTGGAATTATGGAAGTTTCTATCAACTTCATAAGGCTTTTAGTAGCATAGATGACTTTTCTGTTATGAGGTGCATCTGTCCTTCCAGATTCCCTTGATGCCATAGGTAAAGGGGAAGAGTATGTGTTTTGAGATTTTAAGGTTAAAACACCAGTGCCTGTTCAAAGTAATGCAAGTTCAGTAGAGACCATTATACATTTTATGCCTTACACGTTCTTTTGTTTGTTTGTTCAACACATTCAGCTCTCACTGAAGTAAATGAAAAGCATTGACAAGGGGTCATGCACATAAGAATAAGTTTGGAAGGAGTAAGTAATGTTCAGTGAGTCCAGGAAGTAGCCTTTGAAGATAAAGCAAAAAATCCCCAGGGGCTGGGGGATGGAGCATGTATGTATGTATTTAAGAGGAAAATAGAAACTGTTTGTTTGTCATCCTATTAAACTGCTTAAATCATCTGTAGTGCTGTTGCAGGCGTCAGAGTAATTAAAAAAAAAAAAAAAATTGGCCCAAAAGAAAATGAGAAAATGTTTTGCTTTAGCCTTGCAATGCCTGTGTGCTTTTCTCTTCCTCACATCCAGTCTGTGTCTTTAAGCTTTCCTCAGAGTTTTTCTTGTCTGGAATTGCTTGATTGTTACCCACATGTGTTGAGATTTTTGTTTGTAAAGCAATAATATTCAATCAGTATAACTAGTTTAGGCTATTTTACTTTTATATGCAGATCAGATATGTAACTATAATGCCTTTGTATAGGACCTCATTACTTATACCTTTGTTATCATTTCAGAAACCAGTTAAATAATATGCTTTTAACATTTTTTGCCCTTTTCTTTTCCTAATAGGTAATACCAACCTTCAGACCAAAACAGGGAATATCACAGTAGGTAGGTTCTACCTTCTGTCTGATATACTCTCTTTTCACTCTTCCCTTCTTTCTGAAAACTAAATATTCACAGGGAAAGTAAAGGAGGTGATTCCTCACAGATGTTTCTGCCCTCTTTTCAGGAGTAGCACTGATAGGTGTGTAGCTGAAGGAGATCTTTTCCTAACTTTACAGCCTTTTGCAGATGGGCAAGGCACACTGCCTAGCTTTTGATACCACAACACTTGCTGCACTTTGTACAAGTCAGACTGAGTCTAGGTGTCAGCTTTTACATTAAGCTGGGATAAAAGGACATGAGAAGAGACTGTGTGTGATATGCAGTCATTTTGCCTTTAACCTAGTGCTCTATCTTACATTTGTTGATATCAATGAATAGCTATGTTTAATTTTTATATCACAAAGCATTAATAATTCAAGTATTACATATTGGGCAGGGAAGGATTGTGATAACTTAAACACCATTTCCAAACTATTATGCTAATCATTGTCTTCCCTTAAGAAATAGAAAGAGCTCAAATTTTCATTTAGGAACTTGAACTTTTATACAACAGGATAACTTGGAGTTACCAATTAAGGTATGCACTAGATCAGCTGCATTATTCTAGGAAAATATTAGGACCCCTTCTTTGACCATTTTACAGTATATCAACACAACAGTGAGAAACTCAAGTTCTGGTTTTTATGGCAGAAAATTGAAGTAACAAGATCATAGTCAAGGCTCAGTGTCTCTTGAAGGTACATGGAAGGTTTTCCCCTTCTGAAATAAACTTGGTTACAGGCCTAAATTTCAATGACTTCTGCTAATGGTGGTAACCATAGTCACTCACTAAGCATTGTTCAGGGACGAGCTGTACTGTTACAACTCTTATGTTTCTAAGTGATCTATATTAACATTGTTGGAAAATTAATGCAATACACATTCTTATGAATTAGTCATTAAACCACAGAATTAAATTAAGCTTGCTAGTCTGTTTTTCCTTCTGTTAAATAAACTCGTAGAATATGAAGAGTGTTTAAATAAAGATTTCTGAACACAGGAGGTAGCTTTTTCCATCAACAGATGATGATTATTTTCCTTAACTCACCACGTTCAGCTTAAACATTCAGACACATCTTACAGTTGAATAAACTTTATTTTTTCAGATTTCAATTTTGAAAGCACTAGTTAGACTTACTCTTTTCCTAAAGAGCACTAAACATCCTTAAGATTTTTATGGGTTTTTCCAAAGGCAAATAACTTTAAAAATCCAGTGGTTCAACTCTAAAAACTTGAAAAAAGAGAAGGTAAAGTTTTAAGTGAAAGGTTTTTGTGTATGAGAAGTTTATGCCACAAGATAATTTTTGGATTTCCAGGGACCTGACAGGGATTTACTGATAGAAATGGGAAGAACAAATCACATCTTCCAACTTCCCTGGCTGGGTTTTTATAGGGATGTAGTTAGTTATTTCACTGGAGTCAGAATTTTATCAGTTAACTGGAAAAATGCACTCACCTCTAGATATTTGAGGATGTATCCTTAGCTTTTGAGAGATTTATTTACAAGTCAAAGTAAATCATAATTGAGTGTGCTGGATTTTGTTTCAAAATATTTTTGGGAAAATACAAGCAACTGTATTGACAGTTTCTTATTCTTGTGTAATTCTGCATTAAAATAGGAAACCAATGTTGTTGTCTCTCACTCCCTTTAATTTTCTGATTTTTTTTTTATAATATATAGAATAGTTTGATTTATTTTGGTATTACTTGTTTGTGTAAATCTATTTTTATTTTTTGAAGACTAGACAAAATTCCATCTGATTTTAAGCATCTGGCATATGGCAGTGTTTCACACTTGATATTGTTGAAATATGAAAGTAGGGATTATTCTTTTTTTCCTATACTGTGAGCTTTGTTAGTCACAGACAAATTGTTTTCCAACCCCAAACTAGAAGATTCCTATTTCTAACAAATGTTCTATGGGTTTTGGATGGATTTTAATTTAAAGCAACTAGACCTATTTTTACTTCTAATTTAAGTTATTACTTAAAATAGTCATTAGAAATCTGAATAATCTTACAAATGGTAATGGAGTATTTTGGTTTTATAACTAGATTAATCTTTTAAATTTTTATTTGGTAAATTCATAGGAAAGCTCAGGTTGGAAGAGACCTCAGGAAGTTGCAGAATCACAGAATAGTTGAGGTTGGAAGGGACTTGTGGAGGTCATCCTGTCCAGCCTCCCTGCTCAAGCCGTCTCTAGCCTCCAGTCTCCTGCTCAAAGCCATGCCAGCTCTGAGGTTGCTCAGGGCTTTATGCTGTGGTCTTGAAAACCTCCATGGATGCAGACTGTACAGCCTCTCTGGGGAAACTGTTCCACTGCCTGACTGTCCTTAGGGTGAGAAAGGTTTTCCTTCTATCCAGACGAAAACTCTCTTGTTTCAGCTTATGTCTGTTGTCTGTCATGCACTCATCATGCACCACACTGACGAGCCTGGCTTTGTCGTCTTGATCACCATCTCACAGATCCTGGGGGGCTACTGTCAGGTCCTGAAGCAGTTTGTTCTCCAGGCTGAGCAAGCCCTCTTCCCTCAGCCTCTCCTGATGAGGAAGGTGCTCCACGCCCTGACTATCTTGATGTTTCTCCGCTGAATTTGCTCCAGTTTATCGATGTCTCCCTTCTCTTGGGAGCCCCAACACTGGGTTCTGTATTCTAGGTGTGGTCTAATAAGTGCTGAGTAGAGAGAGATAATCCCTTCCTTTATATGCTGGCCATGCTTCAGTTAACACTGCCAAGGATACTGTTGGACTTCTTTTTTGCCAGGGCACACTGCTGGCTCGTGTTCAGTCCTGCTATGCTTATTTCTCAATGCTATTGGTATGGTCTGATTATGTATTCTCTCATCTGCTGCCAAGCCAAGTTTTCCCCTACTAGCTCAAAAAAAAAAAAAAAAAGGATTTTTCCTCATTGGATTACTTATGTTTAACCCAGTTATGCACTGAAGAAATTAATTTTATATATTTGATATATCCAGAAATGCTAAAGCTTATGTTGGTTGTTTTGTTTGAGGTGAGGAAATAACCTTAACCAGGTTATGCACAGTAGGGACTCATTCTGGCAAAGAAAAGTGTATATTCAGATTAAAGAAACTCTTAACTTTTTTTGGTAAATATATTGGGATCAATTTGCCTTATTCTGCTAATTTCTTTCTTCAGTAACCCGCACTAGACAAGCTAAAGGCTTCAGTGACTTGCTATGTGATGAGAGAATGTTGTCATAAGGCAATTCCTTAGTAATGAGAGAAAGCAGTTTTATTTTAAGAACGAAATCAATTATGGAAACTATTATGGTATTTAAGACAGTTTTGGATAACCAAAAAATAATAACAGTATGTTTAGAAGTATTGCCACATCTTTGAGTTTTGTCTTGAGGATTTAGTTTTTAATGTGATCTAGGGTTTTTTTTAAATTAAAAATCTAATTTCTGAACTCCATTAAAGGTATTTACTTCATAAAGTACAGCTCTTAAGTACTTCTAAAAAGCATTATCCCTGCACATACTTGTCTCTTAATATGAATTAGTTCTACTGATGTAGTCTTTGCCATATGCTTCAAGTATGTTGATGTTCTGGCTCTCATTTGTGTCCTTCATCTTCAACCCTGTATCTCAGAACTTCACCACCTTCTGTGTTCTGCTGATGACAGACCTGTAATTTTTTTTTCCCCTGTTGTTCCTATGCTTTCTTCTACACCACCCTATACCAAGGGTGCTGTTCTCCAGGCAGGTTGGGATCAGCTGCTTTTTCCTATCCCTCAGATGTCAGGTTATAAAAAATGAAAGTTTTAACTCAGAGTGGACTATTTTTTTTCTTTTAATATCTGCTGAGTTACTACTCGGTTTAGTCATCAGTCTTTGTGTTCATGTTCCCCCTCCTTCTCTTTGTGTCCTTTTGAATGTAGAATACATAACATTCTGGACGGAGCAAGTAGCTGCTGCCCGAGAACAGGGTTTTCCTGGCAGCTTAAAAGAATTAACTTTTTTTACTTCTGTACGTGTTCTATTAGCACTAAACAATTTTGGTGATGTTACATCATGTATGTTTTACAGCATCTTGTATCATGATGCTGAAGATTCTGGATGTTGTTTTAGTGGTACTTGAGTTTATATTGTATTTGGAGCTATATTTTTTTTTCAGCTCTTGATAAGACAGATATTTTATACTCGTCCAATGTGTATCTTGCTGCAGTTGTCAGTACCTAATTGTTTGTAGGAGAGAAATGGACGATACCACCCATTTCATCCACAAATGGATAGTTCTGTTCCAATGTAGAACTAACCAGTCTACATTCAAGACAGTATAAATATAACTATACATCTAAGTATAATTCTAATAACTTTTAACAGGTAGTATTTTCCTACAGATATGCCTGAAAGTCATTCATGGGGTGCCACAAATGGAAAAATACTTGATTTTTCTCAAAAAGGGTTTCTTTCCTTCCGTAGTTTGCATGCACCCAAAGATCTTGATAACTGAATCCAAAATGATCTCTTAGGTCTCCTAAGTACTCTTGCTATTATTCAATATACATTAGGTACTTTCTAAGAAATACAGTATCCTATGAATATCAGGTTTCTTCATTATCTTTCAAACATACCTTTCCCACTTACACCAAAATTAATCTATGAAAATTTGTATAATGAAGATTTAATTTCTGTGGATTTAAACGAAGGGAATAAATCTGAAAGTCTGAATTTAGAATTATGTATGCGTAGCTAGAGTTATGTATTTATCCTTCTTGGAAAGAAGCAGCTATGATGTAAAAGAGCTGCATGTCTCATGGATATTAAAATACAGGGATGTATTTAGTGTTGTAGAATACTGTTCATTTATTAAATATGTAATGCAAAACCCAAAGTACTTTTCCTGTTGGGATAACATACCATTGCCAACTTAATAAATCACTCTGTATTTTGAGGGTTTTCTTCCAGAGTACGTCAGCATTCTCCTTAAGCATGCTAACATTCTCTTACTGCTCCTTTACAAGTGTTATAATATATGAATTTTGAAACTTTGAAAATGAAATCCTGAAATCTTGTTGTTAAAAAGAGGCTGTTATCTTTTTAATCTGTAATAAGACGGAAGCTTTAAAGCACTAGGTATAGAAAAGAAAGCATGTTTAATGAATGTGTCTGGGCTTCACTAAATGGTTGGGGTTGGCAGGGACCTCTGGATGTCATCTAATCCAACCCCCCTGCTCAAGCAGGGCCACCTACAGCAGGTTGCCTGGGATCCTGTCCAGACGGCTTTTGAATATCTCTAAGGAGGGAGACTCCACAACTGCTAAATATACCAATATACATATACCTTGGTAAAATTCCCCTGAGCCTCCTGTTCTCTAGGCTGGGCAGCCCCAGCTCTCTCAGCTTTTCCTCATGGGAGGAATGCTCTAGTTCCTTAATCATCTTTGTGCCTTTCATTGGGGACTCTCCACTATGCCCATGTCTCTTGTACTGGGGAGCCCAGAATTGGACACACTACTCCAGGTGTGGCCTCACCAATGCTGAATAAAGAAGAAGGATCACCTTTCTTGACCTGCTGGCAATGATTTGTCTAATGCAGCCTGGATACCATTTGCCTTCTTTGCGGCACATGCCCAATCTGATGTTCACCAGGACCCCCAGGTCCTTTTTCTACCAAGCTGCTTTCCAGCTGGGTGGATCCCAGCATGTACTGGCGCCTGGGGTTGTTCTTGTGCAGGTGCAGGACTTTGCACTTTTCCTTGAACTTCACGAGGCCCATTTCTCTAACCTCTCCAGTTCCCTCTGAGTGACAGTATGTCATTTTGGCATATCAGCCACTTCTAGTTTTATGTCATCAGCAAATGGGTGAGGGCACACTCTGCTCCATCATCCAGATCATTAATCAGGATGTTAATCGGGACTGAACCTAGTCTTGACCCTGGACTTTCCCACTAGTTACTGGCTTCGTACTCAAGGCTCACAGATGAGCAGATTTACGTAAATAATTGAAACTTCCACAGGAGGTTTTGCCAGGGGTTTCATATTATTGACAATCATGTTCCTGACTAGATGTACATTATCTCTTCATAAGTTGCTTCTACCCCATTAATCTCTTAAACATTTAAAATAATAGAGACCTATAGCTAATTGGTTTGCAGAGATGGTTAACAAAGTATTATATAGCCTGTGGAGGAAGATGCATTGATATGGACAATGTGGATAGATACTTAAAGGGGAAGATATCATTTGATCTACAGTAGGTCAGAGGCATATCAAGGTGGAGTTGTACTTGGCACACTGTATTATGATGCAGGATTGAGCCATGTAATGATTTTTTTTTTTGGAGCAGAATAAGTTACCTAAGAGACTGTGGCCTTTAAAACCAATGGATCATTTAGAGGTAAAAGGGTAATCTGGACAATTTAGTTAGCAAAGGAATTGTTTTCGTGAGAGACTTCTTTGATTTCTGTCACATCATTTGTCTGCCTGGTCTGGATAATGCATATGATAGTGACTGCTAATGATTTTTTAGTAGTATTTACAATTAGTCTATTTAATGTATATATTTCAGTTTCTATTAATATTTTTCATATGAGTCTTAGAACAATGAATTGAAACAAGAAAATTGACAAGTCTTTATCAACAAATGATACTAGATAGCCAGTTAAGTAGCAATTAGATCATCGTCACACTTTGGTTATGCTGGAATCTCATACTTTTTCCTATCTTTAATCAAATAATAATAAATATTTTGTGTTTTCCTATTGAAATCAGTTTCATCACTGATTTTAGTCCTAGTGCTGATGGGCAAGGTCAATCATGTTCTGTTAGGAAAAGTAAATATGTTTTTGCTTCTGTTTATTCTGTTCTTCAGTACTTGGCTTTATGAAATGAAGGAAGAAGAAATACTAAATGTTGCAAAGGATGTTTCAGTTTTGTCACCTTTGTGGACCTTTTGGTGATCTTTAACTGTATAGTCTTTCTCAAGTTATGTGACTTAAGTCTTACTCTTCAAGCTGTATTTATTTTTCATAAAGCTTAATAAAAATTTTATCAAGAACATCTTCCTTCACTGCTTTTGTTTTTTGCTTTTCTTTCTGTACTAGTAAATTCTTAAATAGCTAAAGTTACTCGAGAGTGACCATCTGTTCCATTTCCAGTAGAACGATTCATCCTTGTATTTGCCCTTCAGCTGTCAGTCCTTAGCAAACTCTGAATTCAAACTATGCGTTTGTTTCTTATCTTATGAACAACCTTTTACAAAGTCATCAATAAAATGTTTCATTGTCACTTACACAAGCAAAACCTTTTTTTCCAGTTTATTAATTTAAATTAACAAAGAGTTGTTTTGTTTTGTTTTGTTTTTCCCAGATTTGGCAGAGAACTTCTTTAACAAAATCTGTTGAGATGGCAGAAACATTCACATCCAATTCTTGTTACTGTTTTTCTTCTAGTCAAAGACAGTCTCAGTTTCTCAGCTGACTGACTATGGATCAGCTACTTTTTTATAAATTACTTTCACCTCCAAATAAATCAGTTTTAGCTGTGAGATAATAATCCCTTTCCATGTTTTTACTGTTATATGTATGTCCTGGGTTGAGTGAGTGGTGGGGATTTTTTGGTGGCAGGGGAGGTGGCTATACGAAGCTCCCCCAGCTCCACCTCTGTTTGGAAACTGAGCCACTCAGCTGCGCCTCTGCGATAACACATTTAAGAAGGGACGTGGTGACGAGCAGTGGGACTTGTGAGGAGGAGTTGCTGCAGCTGCATGAACACCAAGGTCAGTGGAGGAACGGAGGAAGAAAGGAGGGGGGAGGTGTGCCGGAGCAGAGACCCCCCCTGTATCCTGTGGTGAGACGGCAGGGTGGCCCCCCCCGCCACCCATGAAGATCAGCGGTGGAGTAGACACTGGTTTATAGCCTGTGTTTTTTCACCTGGATAATCAAGGTTCTGTGCCCGAAGAAGGCTGGGGTCTCATGGGAAAAGGTAGCCCCGCTGCTGTAATTCAGTGCTGGGAGGATTGCAGCATGCGGGGGAGTCCCACGCCGGAGCAGCTCGGGAAGGGCTGCAGCCGTGGGAGGGAATCCAGTCGGAGGAAGTTAGTGACCCATGACGGAGCAGTGTGGGGAATGCTGCGGCCCATGGGAGGAATTCATGTCGGAGAAAGTTTGTGGAGGACTGTCTCCTGTGAGAGGGGGACCACGATGGAGCAGGAGGAACAAGTTCCGGACACTCCCCTCACCGAAGATAAAGGAAGTGGCATCACTGACTGCACCCCCCATTCCCTGCCCCTGCGCCACTGGGGGAGGAGGCAGAGATATCGGGAGCAGAACTGAGCCCGGGAAGAAGGGAGGGGTGGGGGGAAGGTGTTCTCAAGATGTGGCAATGCTTCTCACTGTCCTACTCTGTTAAGTGTTGTTAGTGTCTGTAATAAATGTATGTTCTTTTTTTTCTTCCTCTAACGAGTCTGCCTTTTGCTCATGACCATAAAGGGTGATTTTTTTCCCCATCCCAGTCCTATCTTGAACCCCAAACCTGGCTCTCTGTCCCTTCTTATTGCCGGAAAAGAAGGGAGAGAGATCTGCTGCATTGTGGTTGGCTGCTGACCAGGCTCAAACCACGACAATGGAATACACCAATCTTCACCATCTGTGCTTGAGATCTGGGATCAGAAAAGCTCCAGATGAGTTTTAGAGCTAAAACTGTATGGCAAGCATAGAGTAGTAATGCTAGACATCCTTGTTGTGATAATCAAGTTCATTCTCTCATCAGTGTTTTTAGTTTTTAAAATGGGAAGTTTCATTCAAGTTTGATTTTGTTATTTCAGCTGCTTCTGAAAGTTTGATTGTTTCTCTTTCTATACACATCCAGAAACTAAGAAAAATACTCTCTATCAGTATTTCATGATTTCTTGCCAATGCTTTCACTTCTAGCATTGTATTTAGAAGGATATTTCACTGACTACCTTTTGCTCATGTACATGTGTAATTTTTTTATGAAACAATGCTAGTGAGGCATAATTTCTTTGCAATTTTTATCAGGTATAGGTCTGTTCAGTAGTTCAAAAGTTAACTCTTTAGGACTTCACTGTAATATTGTGGAAATTCATGTATTTAAAACTGGAATACGCTTCAAGTAATTAAAGACTACTTCTCAACTATATAATAAAGGCTTCCTATTTGTAAAAATGGTTCTTTACAAAGTTTTGTTATCATAAATTTCAGCTAATAAGGAATAGAAGAAAAGGCAGGCCTCTATTCCAGGGCAAAGAACGAATGCTGTTTTCCTAAGTGCAATGGTTATCTCAGATATTTGTTTAAAATTCAGATCTAGTGAATCAGACTTTACAAAGCCTGATACACAGTTCTCTGTAGCAAGATGTTACAGTGCATGACCGCTTGTTTGCTTTCCTGGGTAAAGTTCTCCCTGTGCAGAGTATGAGAATATGAACTCTTGGAAACCAAAATAGATCTTGGTGTTCAAACTTTGTGCTTGATCTCTGCACAAAGATAAATTCATCCTTGTAGCAAGCGTGGAGTTTTGAGACCATGGAGATGCTACAGGTCCAGTAACAACTGCAGGACTATGGCCTTGGGACCAGCATATGCTGCAGTTCTGGACTAGGGAGTCAAATTTTGTTCAGAAACCTGTTTTTCTAAGAGAAGTCTGACATTCAGTAAATGAATATAAGATACTTCTCAAACACAGAAGAACTAATAAAATCAAAGTACAGAGACAGATTCTAGCAAATTTTTCTTTAAAAAGAGTGAATGATGCACATGTTCCCTTACATATTTTTTTTTTTTTTTTCAGATTCATCAGATGGAAGTCTAAAAGCTTCTACACATCATGGAACAATAGATGTTTATGTCAGTCAATTAAGAAAAGTAGATCTGAAATCCCAAAAAGGTTAGCAAACAAATACTGGTTTTTGGAAGCCTATGATGTAAAAGAAAAGGGGATAATGTTGGCGGGTTTTTTTGTTTATCTGTCTGAAAAAAAAAAATTTGTGATTGTTGGTTATATACGTTTTTACCTCATTATTAGAAGATGTATATAAATACTTAAAATATAGTAAACTCTGTAAGGGGCAATAATACTTAAAATGGATTACAGATTTTTTTTATTTTTCAATACTTTATTTTTTTCATGACAACGGACCCAGCAGAATTCTGCAGAGTTGACTTGGATTACAGTCTTCCTTTGCCTTGAGCACAGTTTACTGCATGATGCTGACATATATATTTGCAGTGACAAATTACATACATTTACATTTCTTTTTCCTGCCCTTTCTGGATGAAACGTCCCATTGTTGAAACGGGAAGTCAGAAAAACAGATGAGAGAGCCTTATCCCATCATTCTTCCTTCTTTCTCCTGAATACTCAGTAGAATTTTACTTAGATAAAAGCTCACTCTTGAAGTTGGGTTCATAGTTTTGCCATTCAGAAGATATGATACTGTAAATGACAAGACTGACTACATATTGTTAGTCCTAGTCTTGCAAAAAAACTCCAGTACAGTATTTTCATACTTGACTTTAACATCGTCAGGTACTTAAGGTGGTTTAAATGAGCATGGTATTTGGTACCCTTCTCTCTGTGAGACAAAGCCTGTGTCCTGTTAAAACCTAGCAGTTACTCAGAAAGGGAATAATGAAGGAAATGCATCGAAAGCACTTGTGTATCATTCTTCTGTACAAGCTATTCAGGTTCCATTGGTGCAAAGAAACTTACATTATTTCTTAGTTATCTTTTGTATCACTTAGTAATAAGCTAACATCTCTTTGAATTAGTAGCAAAGAGGAATGTACTTAATAAAAGCTAATTAACGTTATTTTCAAAACATTGCCCGACATCTCTTCTGTCAGCACAGTTAAGTAAAGGCAAAGTTGAAGTTCTGTTTTCATTTACCACATAAATTCAGCATAACTGCTGACAACTCCACTGTAGAAAATGTCCCATTTGTGATAAATTAGCTGCACGGGTGTTGGATTTTGTAAGTCACATCACTGAGCAACTCTCTAAGGAGGACCCAAAGGTGAAGACCTTTTCCCGTTCTTACTCTAAGGCTTTTGTGTATCCAGCAAAATTAAGGCCTAAATTGTGCCAACAGTTATTTGTTCATCGGGACTGTCATGGGCAAGTGATTCTGCTGAATTTAAATTGCGTTGCTTTCTGACTGCTGCTTAATTGTTATAACATTAGTTTTCTTACTGTGTTTTTCAGCTTGAAACTTTTTTATGTTTTTCTAAAGTGAGTGTTAGAATCGGGCAAAAACTAAGGAGCACATATACAGAAAGTGCATTCTGAATTTTAGGAGGTTTTGTTTTAATGTGTAGGATGCAGCTTCCAAACATTGTGAATGAATAATTCCAGATATGACTGATGTGGGCAGGTTGCGGGTCCAGCATCTGCCTTTAGTCTGATGCATAGAAGCACATATTTAGGGGAAGCAGAAGTCAAAATTTCTGTTCTTAATCTCAAGGGTAGAATTATTCACGCCACCAAAGTTGCAATTTTGCTAGTAGTTTACATTTTAGTGATACATATTCTAAACTGGTTAGTCACTGTTGTGGAGGCTGTCAAAATAAACAGACAATAATTAAATTTATTTTGGTACAATCGATTGGCACTCCAGCAATCATTCAGAAATGGCAGATCTAAATGTCTGATAGGAAAAAAAACTATTACTGCACAAAACTCCTAGGATTTAAAGACAATCCAAAATACTTGATCACTCACCTAAAAAGTGAGGTCTCTCAACCTCCAAGAACTTCCTTGGGTGGCATCCTGATCCAAGGGACAGTCCTCACCTGCAGCACACTGCTCCAGGGGGGACTAGCTCAAAATGCCTCCACCAGGAGACTCCATTAATACCCACGCTGAATCTGACCTGTGGTCAATATCAGCCCTTACTGGCTGAGGGCCCAAGTACTGTGAAAACCTGAGAACAAGGACATGGAAAAAAGAAATCAGGGGCTTCTATATTTCAGCAGCCAGGAAGCCCCATCTTCATCGGAGTAGGTGTATGTGCCACAGTCACTTTTGAGACTGCATCTGTTCAAGGATATGAACAGCTGGCCCTGTGCAGTAAAGCAAAGACAACTGCTAGTGTTAACAGTATGTAAGTGGCATCTCATCGTTCCAGAGGAGCAGTTCTTTCATAATGTGTCATGCAGTGGCTGGATTAATCATCAAATCTAATCCCCCGTCTTTGCTCAGGAGTGTAAATATGCAACTAGAAGATGAAACTAAGTCATACTTGTGAGACCTATTAGATTTGCTTCCCTTGATCATTCCTGTAATCAGATCCTCTGCCAAGAACTGTTGCTAGCAGTATATGTCAGTGCTAATTTTCATGTCTGCCAAGGTAATACTGTCATACCCTTTTCTACATGGAATGTGTAGTATTGTGGTTATGATAAATGAAGATGTCTTCGTTCATCCTTTCAGAGACAAAAAAAGAGGTGTCTGAAGACTCTTAAAAAAAAAAAAAAACGACAAACTGCAAAACAATAATTGTTTGTTTCATGCTTTGATCTCAATGTAAAAATAAGTAGCTTTCATTTAAATTTATACCAGGTTCAATTACAGTCAAGGTACCTGCCTCTCTCAAAGCCTATTTACAGCTGTCTGGAAGAAAAGTGGATGTGAGTTCAGAGATCCAGTTAAAAGAAACACAGAGTTCCTCCAAAGATGATCAAGTAACTATAAGTGGTAAGGCTTACTAATCTTGGCTTCCAATGAATGTCTGTCTGGCCTTGGTCAAAGGCATCTACATTTCCTTATGAGTTTATTGCTTTTGGCTGCTTCTTGTTTCAGGTTCATATGTTTGCTTGTGCCATTGTACTCCCCATGTTACTAGATGACTTTCATTTTGTTTGGTAAATGACTTGTGAATGCAAACAACTGCTTAGAGCCAGATTCATCCTCAACTTTATTCAAGTGAATTTGTGGGAGGTAATCCAGGGCTTCATTTGACCCATTGCTTTGTTGGCTTAGACAGTCACGTATAATGAATTGCCAGGGAATGTCTACTAAAAATGTAATCAAAAGTTTTCTCTGTGTCTGTTGGGTAGGAGGGAGAAGTAAAAGGGGTATATGGCATATTTATAAATATACAGTGTAAAAAGCTGGAGCACGGAGGAATAGAGAGTACCTGGAAAGGTGCCTGCAATTACTGGAAGCATTCTCCTAATGCATTTAAGGTTGAACTTGGGAATCCCAAGTCTTGCTGTTTCCTGCTTTAGAAAACAGTTGTACAATTCATTGTCAGTGTATTTATTTCTCTCCTCCTCTCCAGACATGTCTGTCTAAAAGTTAAGGCTGTTGCTGTTACCAATTACTCAGTTTGCTCAAGAGGAAACATTAACGTAATGTGTCTGAAGGCTCCAGCTTTAGTTTTTGAACGTGTTATGTCAGTATGACCTGGTATGATAGCAGATTGGGTGAGGCTTTGAGTTTTCTTTGGTTTTAAACCTAAGAAAAGATGCACAGAACTTCTTTTCCTCCCCCATTTAAGATGATAATCTCAAAGTCAGGAGATGTTAGAAGTGTATGTACATAATTTTAAGATGTAGCCTGCTTATATAAAATAGTAGTCTTGAAATGTGTAGGCATATCTCTTCCTGCCTTGAACAGTAGCTAGCATTTAAATTTAGTAGTAGCTATTAAATACAATTTCTTTAAACACCATGAGTAGAAGTTCTCAGGCTAGAAACCTGTGGAAGGACCCCAGATTCTAGCAAGGCTCTGTGAAATGAACTGCCTCAGCAGTAAACAACACTTCTCTCAGTGAATGAGGAGCACTGGCCAGTCAATCATCATGTCAGTCTGGCAACATTAAAGATAAGAGTGGTGTGTTAAATATACCCAGCTGAATGGCTTCTCTGGTTTCATGACCCAGTCAGTGTTTATGTAGGACAGTCACTGCTGAAGCAGATGCAATTTTTCAACCCACCATTCTGTATGGAAACAATCTTGGCAGTTGAAGCCAAAAGCGGCTCTGATTAGTTAACCCTCAAATATACATATCCCAAAGGCATGGAAATCAGCAAGAATAATGCAGAGGCAACAACATGAGGCCACTGATTGTTAGTTGTTTAAAGAGGTCACAGCATTGCACAAAAAAATTATTAAGCATAGATCTAAATTGATCATAATACAGGTGAATGAAAAATAGACCCTGGAATGGTTTTTCTGCAGGATACAATTCAGCTAAACCTGTGCTGGCCTGACGTAACATATCTTCACCTGTCTTTATACCCAGCATTTAGCTTTGAGTGTTTTCTCATGTATTGTAACCAATGATTTATAGCAGCTCTCTCCTCCCTTTTCTTCACCATCAGTAAGAAGCAACAAACCTGAAGGGAGATGAAGTAGTTAGTTTTAACATGTACTTTTCTCCTTTTTTTTTACCATTTTGAAAACAGTGCCTCCCCTTTCTTTGCTAATCCAGTAGCATTAGTTTGGCATGGCAAGGGAGATGCTTCCTCCTTCTCCTTCTCTTTACGTTATCCCGTAGGGACAGTGTATTCTTCCTGCAGGCCAAGCACTTGTCCCCTCATTCTCAATGATCTCTTCTACTTAAAGTTGATATTTGAGAATTTTTCTGTAGTAGTAGTTTTGGAAATAATTAAAAATCATTTCATACTGTTTCTCTATCATGAAAATACTATCCACTGTTGAAGTTTTGGGTACAGAGTCTATAGCTGTCCTGCTGCAACTGAAGAAATAGAAAATAGGGAGAGAAGAGGAAAGTGGAAAAAAACTATCAGAAGAGCATGGCAGTTTAGATTTTTATGCTTGTGAGCTCAAAGGTTAGTTTAAAAATAGATTATTTTTTCAGAAACTGGCCAGTTCTCATGTGGATAACACAAGCACCGACAGCTTTCAGGAAGTTTTACTTGCCTCTCAGAATATTGTGAGAGATGTTAGAGAGGAGGCTCTCCAGTGAGAAGACAGGCTAGAGTTCTGTGACTTGGGTGACCATGCACCTAGTCTATCACTTGCTCTAGGAAAGCCTTCCCTTACTGCTGTTACAGCAGTTATGATGAATGCCATCACCTTGCCTCATGGCTCCCATTTCCATGCTGAGTGGAGAAGTCAGCACGCTACAATCCCACAAGCAGTCACATCCAGGGCTTTGCAGGATAGCCAAGGAATAGAGCGGGTTTTAGGCAAAGAAAGAAGATGAAAGCCTGGAGTGAGTGCTCTGGAGGCAAAGTGATGCGAGTGTGACAAGGTGTTTTGCTCTTTTTAGAAAAGGAAGGGACTTTCCTGCAAAATTGGGATACTTAGTGAGAAAGGGAAGGAACAAGAGAGCAGTGCCAGGGAGTTTATTCTTCAGAGTAATTTGCAAGGATAAGTCATCTGTTTCCATAGTCACTCTTAGAAGAAGTATGTGTGGTATAATGAAATCTGTTCTAGAAAAATATTTTTTGCATGCTAGGCACTGGTCTAGCTTGCATCTGTGAAAGTGTTTGGCTGTCTAGTTTGAATGAGTAACTCCAGTAATTTCTGACAGTAATCATGTCAAGGCATCCTTTTCCTTTCTCTGGCAAAGAGGGAAGCCCGTGCTTGCTCAATGTCTGTGCCTTCCCCATGGCTCCAGGTCCACCTGTATTCTTAAATCAGCTGGTTTAAGAAGCCTGTAGAGATCATTAACTGTATCTGGTACTATATATGTAAGAAGAAGGGTAACAGGCTAAAAAGTATCAAATATTTAAGCAGGAAAGGAGTTTAGGAGACTTTCATGTCAGTGGGGTTGCAACCATGTTGAAGGACAAGGTTGAAATTCATATAATCTTTTCCATTTTTAGGACACTTTTCTAATAAGTCATTTTAAGTTCACAGTATGAAGGTAGGAGTAATTACCTGTGTGGTCCCAAGAGGAGGAATATTTCAATAAAAACATCAGTAAACAGGAAACAATAATGTTACACAGTTGAAAAAATTAAACAATGTATTAACATGACTGTTCTGTAAAATTCAAAATAATCCCTTGGCTTTACATGGCATTAGTAATACTTCATTGGAATATGTCCAGTTTTGAGTGCTGTACTTCAAAAAAGGATGTGGACAACTGTAGAGACTCCAAATGAGAACACACGATCAGAGTCCTAAAAACACGAGTAATGAGGGAGGACTAAATAAAAGAGTTGTTTTTGTCTGAAGAAGAGAAGACTAGGCAAAGATAAGATGCATTTTTCCAGTATGTAAGGAATTGCTGCAGAGATGAAAGAAATAAATTGTTTTCTGTCTACTGGTGATAGGACTAGAAATTATGATTTGACCTTGTGGTAAAGAAAACTTAGCTGAATAGTAAGATAAACTTTCTGGTAGCAAACACTTCTCTGGTGAGGCTGTAGGGCTGTCAGTGCTGCAGGTTGTAAAGAACAAGCTAGGCAAGCATGTCAGCTTAAATCCAGTGCATCATCAGGAGGTTGCTTTCAGCCCTGTTTTCTCTTGCCCGGAGTTGATGTGACCATCTGCTCATTTGGGGAGTAAATGACTGCAGCCAGTGGGCACGCTTCCGCCCACTTCCATTGCCAGCTTGTGTGTTGACAACTGTAAGCTCACTGGAAAAAGTCTTGGAGTCATTCAAAGACTTTCTTTGGATCCTTTTAGTGTCCATTTCCAAATCAAATTGTCTGAAATACAAACCCTTTCTTTCAACCACGTAAATCTTCCATCTCTGACTGGTGCCAGGGACTCATCTGATTGCAGATCTTTCTTCATCCCTGGCCCCCATTCTCGGGCCGAGTTCATATCCAAGCAGCAACCTTTGACCTGATGCCATCCATCTGCTTGGTGCCGAGTGACCTTTTAACTTTGGCAGTCGCTTACTCCATCTGGTTTTCAACACTTGGGTGAGTTTCCTTGGTAAAAGTCCCACAGTGTCACAGGTGCTCCTCAGAGGCCATAAATGTTTGTCTTTGTGGGTTATCATGTCTCCCTATTTTTACTTTCTTAAGCTGACAAACCAGCCTCTTTGCGTTTTTCTGTCCTCTTACAAAGAACATATTCTTTGGGAATTACTGACTTCCAAGTCGAGACATACTTGCTCCCTATGTCATCCAGCAGGACAACAGTTGCAGCAGTTAACAGGATTTTTAGCTTTTGGCACTAATCCCACCCCATCTACAGCACTAGTGCTTTGCTGAGCCACATCTGAACAGTGTTTCTCAGAGCCGTGGCATCTGGTGGCCATGCACACGGGTCATAGGGATCTCTTGCATGTTGACGGATGCCTTCCCTCAGATGTCTATCCTGGGTATGGAGAGAAATCCCCTGTTGTCTTCTCTAGCACCTTTTCTCCTGTGAAAGTTTCCAGGTGTATATTGCCTCTACTTTATGGGTTGATCCAGTATCTAGTTATTCTTTTGGTCACTAGGACCTCCTTAGATGGCCTTCCTCTTCATGTGCCTCTGGAGAGAGTCAGCCGGTCTAATTACCAGATGCCCTTGAAAAGGTGGCCATTGATACCACTGTCCTATCTCTGACTTTTGGGGCTTCTCTTAATAACGCACTTCAAGTCTTTTTACCCTGTCTGGTTCTCCGGCTAGACTGTGGTGAGAGGCACCTTCCTCCTTACAACAATCATCGGCTCAAGCATGCACTGAAATAATAAGACTTTCACGTTTGCCTGAGGTTCGTTCTAGATTCCCCTCTGGGACCCAGGGGATTTAGACAGATGTTTCCTACCTTCAGGAATTACTTACTGCTCAGAAAATGGCACCTCATGTAGTAGTACTGGGAGAGCGGCCTATGAAGTGCTGTGGACTTACCCCATAAGATTGTTTCAGAGCCAGTGTATGAGGAGAGAGTGGACTGCATGAGTCTCATATACCATGCACAAAGCTTTATGGAGGCGTTTAACTGCTTTCATTATCAGGAATTCTACATTGTTTACTTCAAGGTAATGTCTGTGTTTTTAGCTGCATGGAGTTCCAGGGTTAAATGCAAACACAGCTGAAGGGGCAGTGAATAATGTGAGGCAAGCAACTTGCCTTTAAAAGGGAAATAACTGAAAGAGCTTGTATTATGTCAGTCTGCTGAAACTTAAGTTTCAGAAAAAACTTAACAGCTGTCCAAGTGTAGCAATCCTTCTCCCACTGTGCAGCTGACTTGGGTCGATTGCATTCAGAGTTACCGTTCTGATCCCAGGAGTAACACTATCTGCTGCTGTGTCCCTCCCTGTTCTCTCTGTTCTCAAGGCACTTCTTCAAAACTTTCCTTCTTTCCTAGAAGCAATTTTTATTGACTCTTTGCCACTAGAATTGAGCGGGAAGAACATTGTTTTACAGTGTCCCTCTAAACACTGTCCCTCTGTGAAGCCTTGATCCTTAAGCAGTATCTGAAAAAAAAAACAAACAAAGACCCAGGTTGTATCTGGAAAAAATTAGATTCCTTCAAGTCAAATAGAAAGTTCATCCAACTTTTATAAAACACATTAGATGAGATGCTATCCTACAGACTTTTATTGGTTTCAGCTTGCATTTAACTCAAGCTGTTCACAGCCTTTTTGAGGTACACCACAGTCCTAGCAACACCAGTGAACAACATTTAAAATATGCTCCTTTTCATGTGCTTTATCATATGAAAATAGAGTGCTCTTTAACTGTCTCAGTCTCCAGGAAGGCAAATGAATAAACAATCAGTACTTGACTGTGTAAAGTTCTGCAAAGCTGTGTTCTCCCTTTAGACACCACACATGGGGGGGAAAAAAAAAAAAAAAAAAAACAAACAACAACAACAAACTTTTTCCTGGGCATTAAATTGAAAAGGTGGCCATGCAGCATACCTATGCGTCTATTTTTCCCTGAGCTGATGCTCTTGTCTTGCCTGGTGGATGTTTAAATTAAATCCTTTTTTTTAATTTCTTTCTTTTTTTTCCCCCCTTTTCTCAATCCAGCAGGCTGTTGGCTTTCCTGATTTAATCATGCTAGCAAAGTCATCCTCAAATTCCCCTTACGTTCTCACAGTATTCAGAGTACAGGCAGTGAGTACGGTTAAGACCAAACTGTCATCAAAAGGTCTTGAACTAAACCTTGTTGCTTGATTAGCGTCTCATACACAAAGTGATTTAACTATCTTAAGCTCATTTTGAACCTGCTACTGGTGATAGGCTTAAAAACCTTAAAATAGTTTGAAGATCTTCATCCCTAGGGAGTGGAATTTGACACTCACTTTCCTGCAGGCAGTTTGATATTTTCTGCATTCCCTTCACAGGCAAATCTCCAAAAAAAGCATAAGGAACAAAACATTTTTCTAAGTTCACATAGCAAATACAAAATGAGAAACAGAGCCCAGACAACAACTGAGCTTTAAAACAGCTCTTTTTAATTTGTTTCTGTGTGTCTTCAAAACTCTTCTTTAACTTCTTAGCAAGAATGTAGCAGGGTATAAGCACTGCATGAAACTGTTCATTTACAGAGCTGATTCTGTGATTCGGTGTTTGTTCCTTGTACAGAAGTACAAGCCATAGGGAGAAAAACGTGAGAGGGGGGAACTGGGACCAAGCACTCTAATGTGTACTTTCTGGAAATATATTTCTGCCCCACATTTAGTGTGTCCTTTCTCCTTAGGGAAAAAGCTGTATTTTCAGTGCTCTACAACTTTGTTAAGGGATCAACTGAAATTTTCCTTCACACTTCTTTGTTGGTTCATTTTTTTGACACCTGGAAGCTATTTCCTGTTTAAAATTCAGACTTGTCTAATGTTTTAAGTGCTACCTCTACTCAAATGACAGATTTTGTTTTCATTTCTATTCTGTATTCTCTGATACAATACTATTGCAAATCAGTGATTTGGGAAAGCTTTCTGAGGAATTGGAGGTTCAGGTTTTAACAGATTTCACATACAACACATTTGTCCAACTTGGTGATGATCATCATAGATTAAAGTCCATAATTAGATGGGGAGCAGAACTCTGGATTCTGCCTTAAAGTAGGATTGATACTGAGACTGAATGTGACTGAGACTGCTGCTGCCTGGAGCAATCAGAAGTGCAGAAACTGTATTAGGGCCTACACATGGAGATCCTTGAAGGCATGTGCTAGCCTGTTAACAAAGGATACTGAAACACCTTTTTGTTCAGTGGGGGAACTCCATCAGTGGTGGACTCCTGAAAATCCCATACTTTAAACAGTACCTCGGCCAGCTAGTGAATTGATGTGGGTCTGGCCCATAACCTTAAATGAATCCCATTTAGAAGCACTAAAGCGCTGAAACGCGATTGAAAGGTTCTGGCACATAGGCTTGGGTTGTGGAAACCGCTGCAGTGATGTCAGCTGGAGTTTCGCCACTGTTTTTGACATGGCCAAAACTTAACTTCAGCTGTGTTACAGGTCAGAGCAGAGCATGTTTGCAAAGTTGCTTCAGAATCTGCTTCCCTGCCATCCCTTATGCTATTCCAGGCTCAAATTAGTTCTAAACTTAGAATTCACTCAGTCACACGAACACTAAAGTAACAATAAAAGGTATTTTGTAAAGATAAACCAAAGTGAAGGTTAGTCTTGTGATAAAAGCACTGATTTGGGACTTAAAATATCCCAGTTTAATTCCCAATTTGGTCATAAATGTTCTGTATAAATTTGGAAGGTTACTTATTCTCTCTTGGCCACAGTTTCTTAATTGTAAAATGTGGGTAAATTGAACTTTCTCCTTTGTTACACAGTGAGCTTTTCAGAGCACGACTGTGCATACTAAGTTTATGTGAAACATGTAAGCAGACCTCTCAGAGTTGTTTGGGGTTTTTTAAGCCATTATAAGAAAGCAGTAATAGTGGCAATTTGTCTGGTCATCTGGAAAATCAAGTCTTACCCATGTCTCTCTCCTGTGTTCACAATAAAAATGAAAACTTTTCAAATTATTTAGCCAGATCAATGTCTAATGTGCATGTATGTGTTGGGATTGTGTGGCAAGGGTTTTGGTAGCAGGGGGGCTACAGGGATGGCTCCTCCGAGAAGCTGCTAGAAGGTTCCCCCATGTCTGACAGAGCCAATACCAGCTGCTCCAAGACAGACCCACTGCTGGCCGAGGTCAAGCCCATCAGCAGTGGTGGTAGCACCTCTGGGATAACACATTTAAAAGGGGGGAAAAAAAATTGCACAGCAGCAACTGCAGCTGGAGAGAAGAGTGAGAATATGTGAGAGAAACAACTCTGCAGGCACTACGACCAGTGAAGAAGGAGGAGGAGGAGGTGCTCCAGGTGCTGGAGCAGAGATTCCCGTGAAGACCATGGTGAGGCAGGCTGTGCCCTGCACCCATGGAGGTCCATGGTGGAGCAGATCTCCACCTGCAGCCCGTGGAGGACCCCATGCCGGAGCAGTTAGATGCCCCCAAAGGAGGCTGTGACCCCGTGGGAAGCCTGTGCTGGAGCAGGCTCCTGGCAGGACCTGTGGACCCGTGGAGAGAGGAGCCCACGCTGGAGCAGGTTTGCTGGCAGGACTGGTGACCCCATGGGGGGACCCACGCTGGAGCAGTCTGTTCCTGAAGGACTGTACCCCGTGGAAGGGACCCACGCTGGAGCAGTTTGTGAAGAGCTGCAGCCCATGGGAAGGACTCACGTTGGAGAAGTTCATGGAGGACGGTCTCCTGTGGGAGGGATCCCATGCTGGAGCAGGGGAAAAGTGTGAGGAGTCCTCCCCCTGAAGAGGAAGGAGCAGCAGAGACAGTGCATGATGAACTGACAACAACCCCCATCCCCTGCCCCCCTGTGTCTATGAGGGGGGAGGAGGTAGAGAATTAGGGAGTAAAGTTAAGCCCAGGAAGAAGGGAGAGGTGGAGGGGGAGGTGTTTTTAAGATTTTGTTTTTATTTCTTATTACCCTACTCTGATTTGATTGGTAACAAATGAAAGTAATTTTTTGCCCCAAGTCGAGTCTGTTGTGCCTGTGATCATAACTGGTGGGTGATCTCTCCCCGTCCTTCTCTCAACCCACGAGTCTTTTGTTCTGTTTTCTCTCCCCTGCCCAGCTGAGGAGGGCAATGATAGAGCAGCTTTGGTGGGCACCTGGCATCCAGCCAGGATCAACCCACCCCAACATTTTTCCTAGCTCATAATAAAAATTATGGTACTATATAATAAAACCCACAACTTTATTGTAATAACATATTATGGGAAATTAGATTAATGTAAAAAAACTGTATTGAGAATGAAATGTTAGAAGCCCCTGTTAAAAATACATAAATTCTACCAAAAAGTCTTAAATTTCCAGGGCGCCTGGAAAAAAAGGCAAAGTGAAGATGATATGTTTACTGTGTGTCAAATTAAGCTAAACAGAACTCTCTTTTCCAGGTCACATGAATCAAAGGGATGAATCGGACAAATGGATTAAGGCTGATACACAAAATGGCAAAGTGTGTCTTAAAAGCCAAAGCTGGATCCAGTCTGTCAAGCTGAAGGATTCTTGAAGATGAAATAGGCCAAAGAGATTAAATCACGGAATTGTAAAGGAACACTTCTGTAAAATCATGAAACTTTGTTGATGTATGTTCTTAATATAAGAGAGAAACAATATTAAAAATGAGGGTGTTTTAACCCAAGATTTGCTTGTGACAGTGGCTGGTTCTTAACAGATCCGGTTTACTTTTAGTGCCTTTTAGGAATAACATGATCTTACATATTCAGAATTTGTATAACTTGACCCACTTATCACATCAGTTTAAAAGCTGGTAACTTTCAAACAAAAGTTTGGAGTCATCATTTAAAAATAAAAAGCATTTTCAACATCTCATGTGAAAATACGAAAATTTACTTTCAAGATGGCATGTTCCGCAAACTGTTTTATATTTTTTAATGTCTCAGTACTGTGAGAATTCTACTGGTTTATGCAAAATGCAGAGAATTCTCTTCAACCAAATTATTTGTATTGTGTGTAGGATAAAACCACTTTCAGAACTGCACTTCTTATTTGGTCTTCTCGTTCAGTGTTTGATCCCTAAGCAATTTCTGCCTTGTCAATGGGTATTGTATGTGTAGAACGACTTCCATGAAATAACAGAACTTGCTGCGTGTTGTCCTGAATCACTTGTTTGTGGTTAGAAAGAGGAACTCTAGCTATGTCTACCACTGTTCCTCTGCAATGAAAAGCTTTTAAAATAATTACTCAGAAGTGCAGTGGATCTGGCTGATTTAATGGAAGAACACACCACCAGCTGGACTTCAGATAAGAGTCCACATGAATCTTATCCTGAAGTAAAAGCTGCCAAAGAATGGAAGTACTGGCCTAATACATAAGATACGTAATCTGTTTATTTGCTACATTTCCAGTGCCTTGATTTACTGTCAGCTTTGCATGACAGGACTGTCAGCAATTTGGGGCAGAGAGGCAGAGGCGGGGGATGAGGGAGGTATCTGTGCCCTGCACAAGGGTATATATGATTTTTATGGAGAATTTTGTGTTACCGTAATGAAAACAGTAAAATAAATGGAGCTTTTAAAAGCCTTTCCATACACATACATGGCACCTTATAAAAGAAGCACTGAAATTTGTGTTTTAAAACTGCAATGTAAGAATTCCTGCCAACTGAGTGGATGGAGAGTAGCAAAGAAGAGTTCAGAGTGTCAGCTCAGATTTCAAGTTGTGTATTTGTGTGTATGGACTTTAGATCATAATGGTACATTATGAACTGAACTTCTTTCCCCCAGGATTCCCCAAAAGGTATAATTGCCCCTGGCTAATGGGCCTCAGTAGTCAAGGGCAACATTTTTAGTATCGTTCAGGATGGTTAAAACCTCCACATTGTTTGCTGTTGTGTGTATTGTTTGTTTGGATGAGGTGGGCACTGATATGTATGGCAAATTTTATTATTTTTAATATAAACACTAATATATAAAACAATACTAATATTATTACTTAAAGCAATATTATATTACTTGTTATTAGTAATTATTGTTATACTACTTTTAAGATATACAAAATAAAGAAATGTGTAATGGTTTTAGATTTCCTGAAAAAGTTTTGAAACTAATGATTTCTGTGCACTGCTGTAGACAAAGTGAAAGAATCACCTCTAAATTCACACTCAACTGAAAAAGAAAAACAGTGTAGTCAGTATTTCACAAAACTGAGTCCATTTAATGGTTCCATTTTTCACCTGGAATTCAAAGCCTGTCGGCCTCCATGATTAAGGTTGTGCTTTTTGGGACTGCAGCATCAGCAATTTAAGAGAGAACATAGTAAGAAAACATGTTATTTCTTCCACATTCAATAGAAAGCAACCTAACTCATTCCTATGCTAAAACTAGCTGGAGTTAAACATTAGGATTGTTAGTTACTTGCTTAGAAAAGTTTAAATAAGCCATCAGAAAAATTGTGCCACCACTAAAGCTACTCTGATAATAGTCTTTCTAAGCTAATGAATGTTGAGACCAGCTAGAACTTTATCATAAAGGTCAAGAACGAGCTGAAGAAAGACAAATCTTTGGGAGTTTCTCAAAAGCATTTGAGTAATGTCTTGTTCTGCTATAATGAGGTGAAATTTTATATTTTTCTCTAGACAAGGAAAGATTAGTGGGTTATTAGTAATGAGGATTTGAATGGCAAATCCTATGTGTGATCATTTGTTTTGTCCATCTGATGAGAAGACATGTTCTTGTAACTGGAGAAAACTTTAACACTTTTCTCATTTGTGCTCCTTCTCATTTGATTCTGTCAGCCACCAGCCAGCCCACAGTTCAGATTTGCACACGTAAACGTCAGCTCGCTTAGAGGGTTGAACTCCGCCTGAGAGGCTTTTAGGAGAATTAGGGCTCTGGGTGCACAAGTGAATGTTGAAAAGTCCCTGTGCTTAAACGTGCATGTGCAGCTGTGCATTGAGGAAGTGGCAGTTGCTGCCTAGCCACTGCCCTTCCCTGCTCGAGAGCGCTGCGCTTGATGAGGACCAGCCGCAGCAACCGTCAAGTTCTGTGGGAAGCCAGAGTGTTTATGTCCTGGAGAGGATCTTCATGGCAAACAAGAACCCCAGACACACAGAGATTTATTTATTGCTTTCTCTGCACGGGTCTACAAAAACTTCTCATTATTGAAAGATGAAGACAGCTTGAATCAACATCTGAAAGTTAGCAGTGTTGTTTCAGTGCGGCTGTCTTGCTTGAAGGCATACACGCTCCTGTGAGAAAGATTCGTAATGCTTCCTTACTAATTCAACAAACAGCCTTTTATTAAAGTATGATTAGTTTTAAGTAAAATAATATAGCGTTCTTTTCATGCTCTAGTGAAAAAGCCTTGAACTGTAGAAGATGTTGTACAATTTCTTCATTTTTCACTTTGAGGAATTTGTTTATTCAGGCTCTGATGTGTGTTTTTTGGTGAAGGTGAGTATGTTACCATCGCGGTCATATCCAAGGCAGGAAGGAGGGTCAGCATCATCATGTTCTTGTTTCTCCAATTTGGCTGTGTATTTCAAGACAGCTTGTCTGCAACAAGAGTTAAAAAAAAAAAAAAAAAAAAAGACAAAAATTAAAAATCTGCAGAGGCTGTTTCTACAAAGAACACCAAAAGCTGTTTAATGAGCAAAAGTTCCTTGTTTTAACAACTGAAGCTGTCAATATTGTAAGAGGTGTTGTGAAAACAAAAACAGAAGATAAACAGGCCATAGAGTCACAGACTAAATTAGGTTGGAAGGGGCCTCTGGAAATCATTCAATCCCGGTCTTGCTCTAAATGAGTCCAACTGGACCAAGTGGGTCACGGCTTTGCCAGCTGAGTTCTGAATATTGCTAAGGCTGGAGGCTGCACAGCCTTTTTGGGCTCCTGTTCAAGTTTTTGACCAGCCTCCTGATTAAAGGATCATTTCCTTGTATGTAAACAGAACTTTACATATGCCTCTTGTCCTATCAGTGCACCTTAGAGAACAGTCTGGCCATGTTTTCTGTCTCCTCTAATCACAGTTACAGGCAGCTGCAAGGTCTCCTCCAGCCTGAGCCTTCTCTTGTGACTGAGCAAACCAATTCTCTCAGCTTCTCGTCACTCGCCACGTGCTCCAGCCCTTCGGTGGCCTTGGTGGCCCCTCACCTGCACTTGCCCTGCTGTGGCAGCGTCTGGACTGGGGAGCCTAAGGCACAGATCTTTGGGACTGAGTAGGCGAGGCAATTAGAGTAACAGCGTTGTGTTTTGAAGAAAACATCAAACAAGATAAATAAACCAGTTACATCAAAAGATACCACAGTCTCCAGAGCGATTTTTCACAGCTGTATAGGAAGGCTGGAGCAACCCTGCAGGTCCCTATCTCTATATTTTTTTCTTTGAACAGTCTTTGTCGCACCTCCAAGTATTTTTACGCTTTCCTGGTACACCATCTGCTTTCTTTTTGGCTAACCTCTCCACTTGTAGTTATCTTCTGTCACCCACCCCTTTCTAAAGTGTATTGTTTCTGAAATGAAATTGGATACACACTGGGCAGTGGTACAGAGCCTTACTGCTATCTGCACTGGCCCCGAGCTCGCCCCAAAGCTTCTGCGATAGCTGAGCCAGAAGGGAATGGCTTATGATGTCCAAAACCACCCATGACCCCTCTGATCTCCCTCGGCATTTTGTGCCCACTGCCCCTTTGCAGTGTTAAAACGCAAAAACAACAAACTAGAGCAAAATGACACAGAAATAGGAGAAAATCAGGCCTGCTGAGTGAGACACCCTAAAAAGAAGTTGAAGAGCCGCTCTCTCCTCTCCCTCCTTTCCAGGCAGAATCAGTCCAGCAACTTTCATTCCCTTCCTGAGCCGAAGAAACAGCCCGCCACTTCCAGTCTTTTGAGTACCTCTTTCTTTCTTTCCATCACTTCTGGGACTTGGCTGCCAGCCCGCTCCCGGCCTCCCCCCATCGCTGCCTCTTGCGCTCCAGAAACCTCCCCCGGCCTGAGCGCGCTCGTGTGCTGGCTGGGGAAGAGCCAGCGCTCTGCATCTCCCGTCCTCTTCGGGAGATTCAACCCGAGCTGTGTGCCGCAGCCACAGCAAGGTAGCCTTTCACCCTGCTGGCCAATTTCCTAAATCCTGTAACAGAATATAATATATGGCATCTAGACAATAATAGAAAGAAATCCAAATTAAAGTGGTCTGTCCTCTGCCAGTACTGCTACTACAGTATGTCTTTTTTTTTTTTTTATCCAAAGTGAAAATGCTGAAGATGGTTACAGAAGAGGCGGACACACGCAGCTGTAAGGCTTGCACCGCCACAGCAGGAACGGGGAGGTGGGGAGAGGTGAAAAGGGACAAAATCAGTGAAGCAAGGAGGGCTCCTTTTCAACTGCTGCAGGATATTTTTTTTTCTTTTTAAATCGAACACTGACACACTGTATGAACGACATGAACACAAGGCTGTATCTGTTTTTATATTACAGAGGCCTGTGCCACTGAGGAATGTGTGCACAATTTATAGGAGCTGTAAGTGCTAAGCTATAAAATAAAAATCAACTCATCCAAGTCCAAATTCCTGTTTTTCATGGAAACTGCAATGTATGGTGCCTGTCTGAAGCATGTATAAGGGGAGCTGTTACTATTTTTTTGGAAACTTATGCTGTCCCATGCCTGGAACTACAGTTGATTAGTT